CCTCTCCAAGACGTCCAGCTCCACCTCGGCTACCACCGGCACTCCCTGAAACCGCATCCTCAGGACTGGCACCCCCAGAACTAGCACCCCCAGAGTAAGCACTCCCAGGACCAGCACTCCCAACACCAACTCCTCCAACACCAGCACCCCCAACACCAGCACCTCCAACACCAGCACCCCAAGAACCAGCACCCCCAGAACAAGCACCCCCAGCGCCCACTACTCCCTGCTGCTACTGCTGCTACTGCGGCCAATGAGACTGTTGCGTCGACGGTTGTTACTGCTGAGGCAAGGGGGGAGGCGACTGAGGTGCCTGGGGTACCGAGGCTAGGGAGGAGCCACACGGACAGCAGGCGCACCCCCAGGAGCAGGGCCCCCAGAGTCAGCCGACTTCCGTACGGGCCCAACCGAGGGGAACTGAGTAGAGTGGGAGACACCAGATTGGGCCGGACGCCGTGGGAGGGGTACGGCAGGCGAGGCAGGCATGAGGAAGAGAGGAGGAGGAGGCATATGAGCGCTGTGATGCGTGAAGCGCCGGTAATAGGGGAGCGTCTCGTCAAAGGTCACGCCACAAGAGTGGTAGAACAACCAGTCAGGGGCATCAAGCGGAAACCCCAGGAAGACACAAGAAATGGTGCGGGTTGAGAGCTTGTCCGCGCCAGTGTCGTGGATGTGAGCAAGGCCACCCCACACGTGGAACGTAGACGCGTTACCAGGAGATCCGGTCCAGAGAAGGGTCGGCAAAACCAGTGGCCGCTGGGAGCAGGGCCATAAGTTAAGCTGGTGAGCAGCGTAGCCCACGACGAATGGCCACAGAAAATGGGGTGCACCGGCGAGGACTATGGAGGTGCGAGCTACCTCCGTGACCAGGGTGATGCATTGCTCAGCGACCCCATTCTTCTGTGGGGAATCCGGCAGTGTATACGTCTTGCGAATGCCCTCCGCACTACAGAACTGTCCTAAGGTACCAGACGCAAACTTGCCATCACGGTCAAAGTGTAAGCGACATACAGGCAGACAGTGGTGTGTGCAAACAGCAAGAACCCATGGGAGGAGAACAGTAGGCACGTCGGCCTTCCTATCCAACGGGAATACTGTGGTGAAGCGCGAGAAGTCGTCAACGACGATGAGGAAGTAGCGCTCCCGACCAAGACCATGGACCGGAGCAGGGCCCCAAACACTCCATGTGCAGTGTCAGAAGCGGTGCTATAGTAGGGGGAAATGAGGAGGAGTCAGGGGCGGTGCGCTGCCGGCCCTCGACGCAGGAGGTGCACAGTGGCGCTTCAGATGTAGGCAGGGCGGGGAGCGATGTAGAGAGACCAGTGACTAGATCGTGCTGGGACATATGCCTAAGACGCGGGAGGGCAGGGTGACCTAAGCGGTGGTGCCATAGAAGGTTCGGGTGGGCTAGTGAGCGACAGGAGCAGGGCGCAGCGACCTCGGCAGGCGCAGCAGCCGGGGGGGACTCGGTGTGCAGTGTAAAAAGACCTGGTCCTTGATCATGCTCAAAAGTGGCTAAGTGGCGACCTATGGCTACGATTGTGCAAGCGGCGTTTCTCTCGCGGCCAAGGAACGTAGTGGTGACGCCTCAATCCTAGAGGTGACCGACACCTACTATGTTCCCAGCAAACGGGAGGATGTGCAAACCGGTGAGGGAGCTGGAAGGGATAGCCAGACAGGGGAGATTGGTGGTGCTACGCACGACAGCTGTGCCGATAGAATCTGCTAGCGCGACGCGGACAGGTGCAGGAAGCAGGGTGAGAGTAGTTCTGTCTCTAACGAAGCAGCGAAATGCGCCAGATTCTAGGACAAAGGAGATGGCCGACGTGGCGGGGCCCCGTGAAGATTATGTAATCGATCCTACGCATGACGCAGTAAGGGAATCTATGCCTGACGTAGCTGGGGATCCTAGACTACACACAGCAATAGCTCCTAGGCTATAAACAGCAGGATAATATGATCCAGCAACACTAGAAGCATAATAATACAGAGAATACAATGCTTGATCTATCTGGATCATATCCATATCAACGATGGGAACCCCATAACGAAGCAAGGCATGCCAGTGGGGTACTTGCACCAGCAGGTCAAAATGATGGCGGTAGAGGTCGTCCAGGCGGCGGAAGCAGCGAGCGGTCATGTGCCCCGCGTGCCCGCATACCTGGCGCGCCTGCGGGCCGGTCAGCAGCTGGTACGTGCAAGTCACCGCGCCTCCAGAACCACCAGCAGCCTGGCTCACAGAAGAGCCACGCGACCCCCACCGACTGTCCTGTAGCCCAACCCCCATGACCTCCACCATGGCCACCACCCCCAGGGCCTGCCAGCCCCCATGGCTGCTGCTATTGCTGTGCAGTCCCCGACTCCGACTAACCACCCTCTCCATCTGTACCCGCACCCCCTCCACCCGCTGCGCCCGACCCCCCACAACCCTTGCCCCCCTTGCCCTTGCCCTTGCCGCCAGAGGAGCGGCTAGGGGCAGAGGCAGCCGCTGTAGTCTCGGCTACTGAGGCGGAGGCAGGAGGGACAGTCACCTGGGAGGGAGCGCTGCCCTGAAAGATAGAGACTGCCGGCGCGCCAGTGGAACTAGCGATGGCGCGGAGGCAGTCCGCTATCTCAGTCAGGGAGGTGGAGAAAAGGTCAAGGGTGAGCTCAAAGGGGTGACGAGCGAGGAGTGCGTCGTGAGCAGGGGCTAGGCGGTCAGGGAAGCGGGTGACAAGGACATAGATGATGACGAAAAAAGGGGGCGGGGCGAGCGCTAGCTGGGCCTCTGTACAGGCCGCAAGCCAGCGTACCTCGAGGGAGCGCAGGTGCTCGACTGAGTCTGCTACAGTAGTGAAGGACGTCATGTCAGGGTGGAAAAAAGGGAGGAGGAGACGACCAAGAGTGGCAGACGACAAGGTGGAGTACCTAGCAAGGATAGCCAGCTAGAAGGCGCGGGCTGACGCAGCACCCACAAAGTGGAAGTGCTTGTCAACCGGCATGCACCTGAGGATGGCGATACGAGCAATGGCGTCGCGAGACACCCAGTCAGAATAGGCAGTATGAGCAGCAGCGTGCACAGCCTGCTGCGCAGACGTCGCGTCAGCAGCAAGAGCGCTCGGGCGGGGGACAGCAGGGGGCTCACCACAGACGTGGGCGTCCAGGGACTCGTCGTTGACGCGCTGACTCGTGAGCTGCAGGAGAGCTGCCTCCTGCCAGGTGGCAAAACTGACTGCACGCCCCTCCCCATCCAGGCGCAGAACGAAGGCACCGGGAGACGCCATGCTGGCGATTGTGGTGGCAGCTGCGGCCGTGAAGATAGAGGCAGCAGATGCAGGGACAGCGGGGGGCAGCTGCTACAAGGGCAGCAGTGACAGGGGCTGCAGTGGGAACCGGTGGCAGCGGCGGCTGCTAGCTAGCAGCGGGGTGGCGATGGCGGCGGGCCAGCGGTGAGCTGGCTAGTGGCGACGGCTTTGCAAGCTGGCTAGCGGAGGTGGCTGCGCGGCTGCAGGCTAGCCGCGGCAGTGGTGGCAGCAGCGGCTGCAGTGGCAGTGGCTGCTGGAAGCAAAAGCAGCTGCTTTGGCAGCTGCAGGAGGCAGCGCGGCAGCTGCAAGGGCAGTGGCGGAAGAGGCGGCTGTAAGGGCAGCGGCGGCAGCAGCAGCTGCAAGGGCAGCGGCGGCAGCAGCAGCAGCAAGGGTAGCGGTGGCAGCGGCAGCTGCAAGGGCAGCGGTGGCAGTGGCGGCTGCAAAGGGCAGCAGCGGCAGCAGCGGCTGCAAGGGCAGCGGCGGCAGCAGTTGCTGCAAGGGCAGCGGCGGCAGTAGCGGCTGCAAGGGCGGCAGCGGCAGCGGCGGAAGTGGCACTGCAAGGGCAGCAGCGGCAGCGGCGGCTGCAAGGGAAGTGGCGGCAGCAGCGGCTGCAAGGACAGGGATGGAAGCGGCGTTGCAAGGGCAGCAGCTGCAGTGGCTGCTGCAACGGCAGCACCGGCAGCAGTTGTTGCAAGAGCAGCGGCGGCAGTGGCAGCTGCAAGGGCAACGGCGAAGTGGCGCTGCAAGGGCAGCAGCTGAAGCAGCAATTGCAAGGGCAGCAGTGGCAGCGGCGGCTGCAAGGGCAGCGGCGGCAGCTGCAGCTGCAAGGGCAGTGGCGGCAGCGGCGACTTAAAGGGCAGCAGCTGCAGCGGCAGTGCAGGTTGCTGCAGCGGCAGTGGCCGCAGAGGCAGTGGCTGCAGTGGTGGCAGAGGCAGTGGCTGCAGTGGCAGAGGCGGCTGCGGCAGCGGCTGTGACGGCAGAGGCAGTGGCTGCAGTGGCAGAGGCGGCTGCGGCAGCGGAAGTGGTGGCAGAGGCAGTGGCTGCAGTGGCAGAGACAGTTGCTGCAGCAGCAGTGGCGGCAGAGGCAGTGGCTGCAGTGGCAGAGGCGGCTGCGGCAGCGGCAGTGGCTGCAGCGGCAGCTGCAGCAGTAGCGGCGGCAGTGGCAGTGGCACAGGCAGCAGCGGCAGCGGCGGAACTAGTGGCAGCAGCAGTAGCTGCAGTGGCTAATGCGGCTGGCTAACGCGGCTGGCTAATGCGGCTGTCTAGCTAGCTGGCTTACATGCTGGCTAGCTAGCGAGCGGGTGGCTAGCTGACTGGCGAGAAACACGAGTGGCGAGCAGAGGCCGGCAGCGGCCAGCACTCGCGAAACGGCAGGCTAAGGGCTGGACGGCAGGCTGGCGCAGGTGGCGCGGGCGAGCTAGGAAGCTAGCTGGGAGGCGAGCTGGTTGGCGAGCGAGTTTGCCAGGTGGCTTGCTTGCCGGCTGGCTAGCGTACGAAACGAGGGGAACGCTAGGTGTGGGGTGGGGGGGGGGGGGAGAATTTGGAGACTGCGAAAAAAAAGAGAGGGGGAGGTGCGCGAAATTAGAGAGGGGGAGGTGCGCGAAATGGACATGCGCGAAAAAAAGAGTCGACAGTAGGTAACGGCGGAAGCGTGAGTAACGACGGAAATAAAATCCTGACCTAGCTCAATACCATGTTAGAGTAGCAGGAAAAAAGGTGTGGCTAGGAAGAGGGGAGGGAAGATACAAGTACAAATATTGTCCCCTCTAAGAACTGATCTAGCTAGGCTATAACAAACATATATAAACTAACTAGATATGTGTCTATACAGAATATATGTTTGTTGACATACAGGAGAGGAGATATGGAGTGGGTTGTATCTAAGAGTCACTGGGGACAAGGCAAGAATGCTGGCAAATCACCCGCCTCACTTGCATTAGCTGATTGGCCTGCGTACCCCGACCTATCGACCGGTAGTACTAAGGGGGTGCACTTGTACATTGTACATGTACTACTAATCCTGGACTGGATTGTTGTGATTGTGATACTTTTGTACAGTTGGATGAAAGAACCCCACAGCAACTCTTTCACTCCTGCACCTCACTGATCTCACACCTGCTACTACCGGCATGTTGAAGCTGCTTGACATCGCTCGCACTCAGAGCAAGAGGCGCATCACCACCACCACCAGTGCCACTCTTGAGGCGCCTCAAACCTACACCACCAGTGGCACTCTTGAGCTGACCCAGACCTTCACCACCGGCGCCACTGGTCGAAGTCAAGGCCGTATCACCAGTGTCATCACCCACAGGGTATGTTCTAGCATCCCCAGCACCGCCATTAAGTAACGGCTTCTCCTGACCAGTTACCGAGACTGGATTCGTCAGAGGCGCACTTCCCCCACCAAGAGCACCAATGCTCTCGTGGACAGGAACATCCTTCCCTTCTTGTTTGATCGCCCGCTCGTCCCTTTCCTCCCTTCCCCTCCCCTGTGAATCGTTTTCGACCCGCTTCCCACGCCGCGAAGCCGAATTGGACTCGGTCAAACCTGTTGACGCTGCATCGCTCGATGACACCCCCTCTCTCCCACTCCCACCCCCCGTTTTATGCGCAGAGCTGCGTTTTCTAGAAGCCTCCGGCGCAATGTGCCAGTCAAAGGGCAGCCCGGAGGGTCGCACTCTGAAGGCCTCGGCGTCAGAGAGGAGCGAGTCAAAGTGGCGGCGCCCCTTGGTGAGGTAGGCTCCCCATGACACCTGCTGGTAGGCCCTGGGAGGGAGGTAGAAGTGGGGAAGGTGTAACAAGGGATGGTTAAAGGGTAGGCCTGAGGGTCGCACTCTGAAGGCCTCAGCGTCAGAGAGGAGCGAGTCGAAGTGGCAACGGCCCTTGGTGGTAGGGAGCAGAGGGAGGCCCTGGGAGGGAGGTAGCAGAGGGAGGGCAGAATGAGAGGAAATGGGGAGAAGGGAAGAAGGGAATGCATGTGTTACAAGAAAAGGGAAGGGTGCATGTTGCACGGGACAATGAAGGGGCCCTCTAAACGTGACGACATTTGCCTAAGCGCAGACAATACATGTGTTTTGATTTTAGCCGTTGTATGGGGGGTCCTGCTACACTCACCAGAAGGGCAACTCACCAGAGAGCCATGGAGCAGACGACAATAGCCATGAAGACTGCTGGGATGAACGATGAGAAGTTGAACTTAATCCAACTGGGGATAGAGAGTGAGAGGGGCGAGCAGTGAACGGAAGTGTGGGGGGGGGGGGGAGGGGGGGAGTGAGGGGGAGGGAGGAGAGAGGAATGACAAGCAGAAATTGATAGAATCGGAGCAGGAGAGAGGGAAAAACTAGAATGAGAAGTTGAGCAGAGGAGGGAAGGTACTGTCTATGATCAGACGGAGAGGAGAGTGGGATAAGGTAGCCAACACACATGTAGCTTTGAGACGCCTCGACCCTAGACTCCTGTCACGCGGTTTTGGAGGCGCCTCGAAATCAGATGGAGAGGAGAGTGGAAAAAGGTAGCCAACACAAACGGACGTACCCAATAGGAATGAGGCTGAGGAGAAACGAGAAGATTCCTGTTGAGTGGCGTGGAAGGGGTGGGCATGGGGCGAACGGGGTATGAGTGGAAGGGGCATGGAGGGGCATGGAGGGGCATGGAGGGGCATGGAGGGGCATGGAGGGGCATGGAGGGGCATGGAGGGGCATGGAGGGGCATGGATGAAAGAGATGGAAGGAGGGTGGAACGTTAAGGGGCGCACTCATCCCATGCATGTGACGTGAAACATCTGATTGCCTTTCGCCAGTCATATAAACAACTTCAAAAATGAAGGGAGTGGGTGATACATGGACATGCCATGCCGTGCGTTACTAACTATGCCACACCATAACTGCCTCATCATACTGTGGACTTACCCCATGTGAAGTAGTTGAATGCCTTGCGCCAATCATCTTCACACCTTAACGGGATTCATTCATACATGGGCAAGCCATGCCATGCCGTGCCATTCCATGCCGTGCCATGCCATGCCATGCCGTGCCGTGCCATGCCATGCCGTGCCATGCCATGCCATGCCATGCCATGCCATGCTGTGTCATGGTACTCAATGCACGTCATACCATATCATACCATGCCAGAAATGCAAGCATAAGCCAACAACCAAGCAGTTGCATTTCCATGGTAACCCAAAAAAAAAAAAAAAAAAAAAAAAAAAAAAAAAAACGTAACCAAAAAAAAAACGATGTCGGGTGATGGAAGATCGAGCGAAAAATACAGGAAAGCGGAGGATAAGGAGCAGGCAACGGAACAGTAACTTAAATAGGGCTCAATCCCAGCAGCAGAATCGGAACTCTTCCTCTCAACACTACTACGTAGCACCAACAGGGAACCCAATCACAGGCCTCACCTGCACTTCCAGAGAGCCTCGAACGTGCGTCGAGGCGCACGGGGCCGATTGCCAAGGGAGAAGGCGTGGACGAAGTGCATGCAGCGGAACATGAACCACCAGCAGCTTTACCCCAGCAGAGCCCTCGCATGCCTCACCTGTACTCCCAGAAGGATTCAACTTTGTTGTGACCTCCACCCACCAGCCTCACCTGTACTCCCAGAACGCCTCAAACGTGCGCCGGGGGGCCGGGGGGCGGTCCCCGAGAGAGAAGGAGCGGACGAAGAGCAGGCAGCGGAACATGAACTCCTCCTCTGCCTCCTCGTCCACATACGCCTTGCCGTTCTTGAGAATGCTCCCCATAATGAGCGTGCACTGCACCATGGCCACTGTGTGCAGGCACACCTGGTTGGGAGGCAAGGAAGCAAAGCAGGGAGGGGGAAAGGGGCGGGCAGCGGAGCATGAGCGAACTCCCCCTCTGCCTCCTCATCCATGTCTGCCTGCCTTGCCGTTCTGCAAGACACTTCCCATAATGAGCGGCACTGCACCATGGCCACAGTGTGTAAGCACACCTGGTTGACCCGGAAGAAAAACAAGCAAGGAAACGAACCCCTGAGCCTTGCTCCCGAGCCCATATAAGCTCCCCCTGTTTACTGAGTCCTTGTTTAGTTCTCAGTTCATTTCTCATCTGCTTGCTGGTGGCGGGAGAGAGGAAAGAGCCCCTGAGCCTTGCTCCCGAGCCCATATAAGCTCCCCCTGTTTACTGAGTCCTTGTTTAGTTCTCAGTTCATTTCTCATCTGCTTGCTGGTGGCGGGAGAGAGGAAAGAGCCCCTGAGCCTTGCTCCCGAGCCGATATAAGCTCCCCCTGTTTACTGAGTCCTTGTTTAGTTCTCAGTTCATTTCTCATCTGCTTGCTGGTGGCGGGAGAGAGGAAAGAGCCCCTGAGCCTTGCTCCCGAGCCCATATAAGCTCCCCCTGTTTACTGAGTCCTTGTTTAGTTTTCAGTTCATTTCTCATCTGCTTGCTGGTGGCGGGAGAGAGGAAAGAGCCCCTGAGCCTTGCTCCCGAGCCCATATAAGCCCCCCCTGTTTACTGAGTCCTTGTTTAGTTCTCAGTTCATTTCTCATCTGCTTGCTGGTGGCGGGAGAGAGGAAAGAGCCCCTGAGCCTTGCTCCCGAGCCCATATAAGCTCCCCCTGTTTACTGAGTCCTTGTTTAGTTTTCAGTTCATTTCTCATCTGCTTGCTGGTGGCGGGAGAGAGGAAAGAGCCCCTGAGCCTTGCTCCCGAGCCCATATAAGCCCCCCCTGTTTACTGAGTCCTTGTTTAGTTCTCAGTTCATTTCTCATCTGCTTGCTGGTGGCGGGAGAGAGGAAAGAGCCCCTGAGCCTTGCTCCCGAGCCCATATAAGCCCCCCCTGTTTACTGAGTCCTTGTTTAGTTCTCAGTTCATTTCTCATCTGCTTGCTGGTGGCAGCTCGCACCGGCGGCCTGCGGCCGCGTGTTAGGGGATGGCAAGACTCTTCAGACCGGCCACTGTCACAACCAGGACATACAAGCGGGCACTCTAGGCGGTTTTACAGAATGGGGGTCCCCGCGGGGGCCCGAGGCGTTTGTTAAACATGCAGGTTGTTGTAAAATATATATCTATACAACATGCATGCCTAGATTAGGAGGTGTAGTCATTATAATTATTGGGGGGTTGTTGGTTGGGTTGACCAACCCCACATTTGGGTTGGTCAAGATTGGATTTGGTCCTAGACATTTGGTTGGCACTATTCCAACCAAATGGTCTTTGGTCCTAGGAACCAACCAATCACCAAGCACCACACTTTGTGGTTGCTTGCCTTCCAAGCAATCTCTCTCATTGGTCCACATTGTGACCAATAGGAGAGCACCACACTTTTGTGGTTGCTTGCCCTACAAGCAACCTCCCCCATTGGTCCACTTTATGGCCAATAGGAGAGCTTCCCTTCCAACTCTTCCTTGCTCCTTGTTTTGTACAAAAAGAGCCTCTTGGCTCCCTACTCAATTCAATCTTTTCTCTTCCAAGCTAGTTCCTTCATGGTATTCAGAGCCACAATGGCTCACGCCACCTCGATTCGATCCTAACTAGCACGGCCCTATGCTGTCCCTCCTCATCTTCGAAGTCTAGCCCTTCCTTAGGCTACTTCCCGCGCCCCCCATGCGCCCTTTCTCGCCGCGCTACTCCGTCGCGCCCGCTCTTCCTCCCGTCGCGCGCCTTTTTGCCGCGCCCGCTCTCCCTTCCGTCGTGCGCCTCCCGTCGCGCCTGACGACGCGCTTCCGGCCGTCGCATCCTCCTACTGCGCCCGTTGGTGCGCTCCTCCGTCGTGCGGTCCGTCGTCGCGCCCTCCCGTCGCGCGCCCTCCGCGTTTGCGCACACCAGTCCATCGCGCGCTCCGCGCGCCCGTGCGTCACGGCTCCCGTGGACGCCCGTCGACAAATCCTCTCAGCGCGCCCGTCGCCTTTCTGCCGACGCGCGCGCGCGGTCGTCGGTCGATTTCTCCGCCGCGTGCGCCCGCCCGTCGTCGATTCTGCCGTCGCGTGCTCCCGTTCGTCGCGCCGTTTCGACGTGCAGCCGGTCGCCGCATCCTCCTTGGAGCTGCGCTCCGCGCACCTATCCTTCTCCTCCTCCTTTCCCTTTTCCTCCTCCTTTCTCTTTTCCTCCTCCTTTCTCTTTTCCTCCTCCTTTCTCTTTTCCTCCTCCTTTCTCTTTTCCTCCTCCTTTCTCTTTTCCTCCTCCTTTTCCTTTTCCTCCTCCTTTTCCTTTTCCTCCTCCTTTTCCTTTTCCTCCTCCTTTCCCTTTTCCTCCTCCTTTCCCTTTTCCTCCTCCTCCCCCCCCCCCCCCCCTTCCTTCCCCTCCTCCTCAATGGCGTCCGATTCCTCTGTGGACTTTACCTCCGTCGACGCTCTTGAGCTGCTGCCCGACAACACCGCGGTCAATTGGCATTCCTATGCCCAAACCGTCACGGTGCTTCTCTCCTCGGTGACGGTCAACGGCTACAACCTGAAAGCCGTTGTCCATCTCGAGGAGCGCGGTCTTCAGCCTGCCCAGCCGGATGCACCCGCGGGCCCTGCACCTCCTCCTCCTGGCGATCCTCCCGTCAGCCCCGGCGATCCTCCAACCTTCGCCCCTGACGTCAACGACCCTCAGAGCTCCGAGACCGCCATCCGCACCTACCGTGCCGGCCTCACCGACCACGTCCGCCAGCAGCTGCTCTTCGAGGCTTCCCGCGCCGAGCATGACGCCGCCACTGCCGCCTACAACACGTATCAGGCGGCGCTCGCGGAGTACGTCAGTCGCGAGCGCGCATACATCACCGACCTCGCTGCCTGGCGTGTCGCTGACCGGCGCGCGCTCACCATCCTCCTCGCCACCATTCCTCCCACCCTCAAGCGCGAGCTTGCTCCCACCTCCTCCTCCCACCTCTGGCGGCTCCTCACCGATCTCTATGATCGGCAGGACGTCGCCACCCTCTACTCCCTCATCAAGGAGTTCCAGAGCCTCACCATGGACTCTACCACCGGCGCAGCTGCCTTCACGCGTCGCGTCCTCGACCTCGCTCGGCGCCTGGCGGCTCTTGGCGTACCGTACCCGGACCCTGTGCTCTGCTGCCACCTCCTTGAAGGCTTGACTTCTGCCTTCGACACCCATAAGATCGCCTACATGCAGCTGATCGACAAGCGCATCACCCCGGCTGAAGTCGCCCAGTGGATTATCACCACCGAGGCCGACCTCCTGCGCCATTCCTCCTCCACTGCCGCTGTTGCTCAGCAGCGCAACACCAGGGGAGGGCGTGGGGGAGGGCGTGGCGCTGGTCGTGGTGGTGGCGCGGGTCGTGGTACCAATGGCGCAGGACGTGGTGCAGCAGCCCCCTTTCCTCCTTGCCAGTATCTCCCTCGCTATGGCCCCACGCGGGGTCAGCGCTGCGGCCAGACCACTCATGCCACTGATTCTTGCTTCAAAGCGCTTAGTGATGAGTGGTTTGCCCGCGGCAACACCGGCACCCCCCCCCGCTGGTCCTCCCTCTCCCCTCGCCCCACTCCTCAGGAGGTTCGTACCTCCCCTCTTTTTCAGCCCGTCTCCTCCCCCTTGGCCCACCAGGCCATCTCTCAGCAACAGCAGCAGCAGCAGACACCGCAGCAGATCCTGCCGCAGCCGTTTCAGCAGCAGCAGCAGCAGTTCCAGCAGCAGCACTTCCAGCAGCAGCAGCAGCAGTTCCAGCAGCAGCAGCAGCAGGGGCAGCATCACCTCTTCTCCCAGTTGCAGCAGCAGCTCCACCAGCTCCAGCAACAGCTTGACCTCCAGTCGCAGCTCCCCCTTGCACCTCCTCCTATGGCTCCCCCCCAGCAGCCCTACCCCGCTTGGACCGCCGGCACCGCCGCTTCCGCAGCTCACCTCTCGGGCGCGTCTCCCGCGCCCTCAGCCACAGGCAGTGTGACTCCCTTCCCCTCCTCTGGTTTTGTTGGCATGGTTAGTCAGGCTGGAACCCCCGCCCCTTCCATGTATTCGGCTGCTATTAATGAGAATGTGATTCAGTACTCCGTCCCACCTCCTCCCCCACATCCTCCCCCCTCCACCACGCTGGACTTTGTCCTTGACAGTGGAGCCACCGAGTCCGTCCTTCGTGATGCTGGTACCCTTCACCCTCTCCCAGCCCCCACCTCCCTCCTTGGTGCCGATTCCAGCTTCTCTATTCCCTGTCGCCACACCTCTACCCTCCCCTGTCCCCTCTTCCCCTCAGGTACCGTCACTGGTTTACACATCCCCTCCCTCCGTACTAACCTCCTCTCCCAGCGATCCCTGCAGCAGGCCGGTATCACCACCGTCTTCCCAGGTCGCGCTAATCACTGCCTCCTATACCATCCCACAGGTCGCCTCCTCTCCCGTATTCCCTTTTGTCCTCGCTCCCGCCTATATACCCTTCGAGTTCCTCGTCTTCCCTCTGCCCAGGCAGTCTCCCGCTCCCTCCTCCCACCTCACATCTCCCCCCCTCCTCTCCCTCCTTCTAACCCAACCATTCCCCCCCTCCCCCCTGACCCAACCTGCTCCTGTCGATCCCTCTCCCATCCCACCGTCCTCCTCCACCACAGGCTTGGTCACCCCAACTTTGCCACCCTCCGCTCGACCGTCTCCTCAGGTCTCCTTCGAGGTCTTCCCCTCACCCTCCCTCCCCTCCCTCCCTCCCTTGCCCCTCCCTGCTCCGTCTGTGTCCAGAGCATGCTCAAGCAGCTGCCGCATCGGAGTTCCCCCTCCGCTGCTGCTCAGCCGCTTGATCTTGTTCACATGGACCTCTGGGGCCCCAACCCCTCCCCTTCCCGCCAGGGTCATCGCTACATGCTTGTTCTGGTCGATGATCACAGCCGATATTCTTCCGTCTCCCTTCTTCGCTCGAAGGGTGACGCTCCGACTGCGATCATCGCCTGGCTCAAGCAGGCGAGCACCCACTTTGGCCGCCCTGTGCGCCGCCTTCACTCTGATGGCGGTGGCGAATTCCTTAATCGTCAGGTAGCCTCCTACTGTGAGCTTCATGGCATTCGCCAGACTCACACCCTCCCCCACTCCCCCCAGCAGAACGGTGTGGCCGAGAGCCGTGTTCGGGAGATCACCAAGATTGCTCGGTGTCTCCTCGTCCATGCCTCTTGCCCCCCTTCTCTGTGGGGCTATGCCCTCCTTCACGCCACCCTCCTTACTAACCTGTACCCCCACCCTATCCTTCCCTCCACCACTCCCACCGAGCTCTGGACGTCGGCCAAGCCTGACGTCTCCTCCCTCCGTGTGTGGGGCTCCAGGGCGTATGTCCTCATTCACCCTGCGGACCGCCCCCGCACCATGGGAAAGCTCGCCTCCCGTACCCTCCCCTGCATCTTCCTTGGTCATAATCCCTCCTCACCGGACTACCTCTTCCTTCACCCCCCCTCAGGTCGTTTCCTCCGCAGTCGGGATGTAGTCTTTGATGAGTCCACACCCTACTATTCCACTCCTCCCCCCACTGACCCTCTCGCCCCTTCTCCCAGGCCCCTCAACTGGTCCGACACTATCCCACCCCCTCTTCTCCCTCCCCCTCCCATCCTCCCCCCCGCTCCGCCTCCTCCATTCCCCGCCGCCTCGGCCCCTAGTGCTCCCCCCTCCTCTGGTGACATATTTGACCCTGACCCTTTTTTCCCCCCCGCCTCCCCGTCCCACTCCTCCCCCTCCGCTCCCTCCCATCCTCCCCCCTCCCCTCCTCCCCCCTCTCCCCCGCGACCCCCTCCCCCCCTGCGTCCCACCCGCTCCATCCTCACCCGGTATCCCCACACCAGGTCGCGTGACGCAGTCCTAGGTGCCCCGCCTCCTGTTATCCTCTCTTCCTCTACCTTGCCTCCTCTCTCCCCTCTCATGGACCTCCTTTTTCAGACAGTCTTACAACAAAACACTAGCCCAACCCTGCCGTCGAGCTCCAGTACAGCAGTCCCAACAGCAGCAGCAACAGCTGCAGCAGCAGTTCCACCCACCGCAGCAGCACCAGCAGCAGCAGCCGTCACTTCTTCCTCGCCTTCACCCGCAGCAGCAGCAGCGGCGGCAGCAGACGCAGCAGTAGCAGCCGCCTCAGCAGCAGCAGCAGCAGATGCATCCTCAGCAGCAGCAGCAGCAGCAGTCCTCCCATTCATTTTCCACTCCTCCCTCCTCGAGGACTCCCATGAGGAGTTCCTCAACCTCCACATGCATGATCCAGCCGTCCTACCCATCTCCCCTGACCTCAGCGGCACACCAGTCTTCGCCTTCTCCTCCGCCCCCACCATCTTCGTCCCCGCCACGTACGAGGAGGCCATGGCGTGCCCTGACGCTCACCTCTGGCTCGCGGCCATCCTCAAGGAGTTGGAGGCGTTTATTGCCAACTCCTCCTTTGTGGATGTGCCCCGCCCTCCCTCTACCACGAACGTAGTCAAAGGGAAGTGGGTGTTTCGGGTGAAGCAGCTTCCTGGCGAGCCGCCGGTCTACAAGGCCCGCTACGTCGCCAAGGGCTTCACCCAGCGCTACGCTGTCGACTTCTTCGACACCTTCTCTCCCACCGCCAAGCCCGCTACCATTCGCGCAGTCCTCGACCTCGCTGCTCGCCTCAACATGGAGATTCACTCCATGGACGTCTCCAACGCCTTCCTCCAGGGGGTCTTGCGCGAGCTCATTTACATGGAGCGTCCTGCAGGCTTCCACCTCCCCTTTCCTTCCGACTCTGTCTGGCAGCTGCGTCGGCCGGTCTATGGGCTCAAGCAGGCACCAAGGGAATGGCATGCCAAGCTTGCTGCCACCCTCGCCGAGCTTGGCTTCAGCACCTCCCGTGCCGACCCCAGCCTCTTCCTCCGCACCTCCCCCTCCCCCTTCTACATCCTCGTCTATGTCGACGATATGATCCTCATCACTGCCGACTCCGCCGAGCTCGAGCGCGTCAAGCGTGAGCTTGGCAGCCGGCTCAAGTGTAAGGATCTAGGGGGGCTGCAGCACTATCTCGGCATGGAGATTACCCGCGACCGTGCTGCTCGCACCATCTCCCTCTCCCAGGGCCACTACCTGCAGCAGGTCCTGGAGCGGTTCGACATGGCTCGAGGCACCCCTCAGGTCACCCCTCTTCCTGTTGGGCACCATCTCACTCCCCTCACCTCCCCCTCCTCCTCCTCCCACCCCTACGCTGAGCTCATCGGCTCTCTCATGTATGCCATGGTCTCCACCCGCCCTGACCTAGCATACCCCATCAGCGTTTTGGCCCGCTTCGTTGGTACCGGCAAGCATGATGCCGCCCACTGGCAAGCGGCCAAGCGTGTCCTCCGCTACCTTCGGGGGACCAAGGACTACGTCCTTACCCTTGGCGGCCCCTCCCCTCCCCTCCTCACTGGCTACTCTGATTCCTCCTGGGCTGACTCTAGGCCTGACCGCCGCTCCTCTCAGGGCTATGGCTTCTCTCTTGGCAGCGGCCTCATCAGCTGGCGCTCCACCCGCTCCTCCTCCATTGCCCACTCCTCCTGCGAAGCAGAGCTGTATGCCGCTACCATGGCTGCGCAGGAGGCCCGCTGGCTCTCCTTCCTTCTTGAGGAGCTTGGTGCCCCTCAGCGCTGTCCCACCATCTGGTGCGACAACGCCAGCACCATCCACCTCACGAAGGATGCTGTGTTCCACGGGCGCTCCAAGCACATTGAGCTTCGCCACTACTTCATTCGCGAGCTTGTGCAGGGTGGCCACCTCCAGCTGGGCAAGATTGACTCTGCTGCCAATCTTGCCGACATCTTCACCAAAGCCCTCCCCCACGCCGCCCACTCATCCCTCCTTCGCCTTCTTGGCCTCGCTCCCCCCGTTCCCTCGTCCGCCTCCTGATTCAAGCCCTCTAATCTTATGCATGTTGGGGGGTTGTGTTGTAAAATATATATCTATACAACATGCATGCCTAGATTAGGAGGTGTAGTCATTATAATTATTGGGGGGTTGTTGGTTGGGTTGACCAACCCCACATTTGGGTTGGTCAAGATTGGATTTGGTCCTAGACATTTGGTTGCCACTATTCCAACCAAATGGTCTTTGGTCCTAGGAACCAACCAATCACCAAGCACCACACTTTGTGGTTGCTTGCCTTCCAAGCAATCTCTCTCATTGGTCCACATTGTGACCAATAGGAGAGCACCACACTTTTGTGGTTGCTTGCCCTACAAGCAACCTCCCCCATTGGTCCACTTTATGGCCAATAGGAGAGCTTCCCTTCCAACTCTTCCTTGCTCCTTGTTTTGTACAAAAAGAGCCTCTTGGCTCCCTACTCAATTCAATCTTTTCTCTTCCAAGCTAGTTCCTTCACAGGTACCCACGCTAGACGAGCTGGCGGGGCGACTAACGCCCGCGGACCAGAACTACGCCAGTAGGCGATCTCCAGCTACCTCGATGCGCGGAGATCCTCCAGCAGACAATACACGGCGCGCTCCAGCTCCCGGAATACTGACACGGCGCCGTCGATTACTTCTACAGCTTGAGCCCCTTCCAGCTTGCCCTCAAGATCCGCCAGGACGACGGCGGACCCCACCGTCAGCGGTATTCCCTGAGCGAGCCCAGGCCACGCGGCGGTCAATGCCGCCCTCGCCGCTGTCGTCTGCGTCGCGCACGCTACCGCCTGCCTCTCCGACAGCATGCCCTCCTGGTCAGCACAGCCGAGCGCGTACCCCGACACCTCCACCACCGTCGTCAAACGCGCGAGGCAGTCCCTGGCTGAGTCCAAACGGCGCATCGTGTCCTCTGCCGCTGCCCGAACCGCTGCCTCCGTTGCGGGCTGCCCGCTCATCGCGTGGCCCGGTGGAAACTCCCCCGTCCGCTGGCCCTTGCGCCCGTGACCGCCTGCCGTCAGTCCAGAGTGGTCCTCCCACCCACCGCCCTCCCCCCTGCCCACCAGTCTCCCCCTCCCTCCTGCCCTCTTCCCGAGGAGACGGAGCCTGCCACGCTGGGAGCAGTGTTGGCGCCGCAAGCGGCTGGACGCTGGGAGGAGGCGGCGGCGGCGGAGGCGGAGGAATCGCCGCTGGTGGAATCGGCGTCTGCATCACTGGTGGAGTCCCCCCCGGCCCTGGGACCCAGGGGGGCTCCACTCGATACAGGATCCCAGGGACTGGGCCCCCCTGCGGCGGCCAGGCAGGGGGAAGCTGCGCCGGCACCACCACCACCGCTGGCTTGAGAGCCACGGGAGCCGCTGGAGGGGGAGCTAAGGGAGCCGCCAGCACTGGTGCTGGGGCGGCCGGCGTTGCCAATGCACGAATCACCGCAGGCACGCGCGCAAGCACCGAGCGACAACTTCGTCGACGCTCGGGGAACGGGCCAGCGAGCTCCCTTGCTGCGCCTGCGGGCCACGCTGCGGGGGATGCGACGGCCTCCGCGACCCGCGCGGGCCAGCGATCACCGATCGTACAGCCGTCCGGAGATCGCCCCCGCCCATACGACCGAGACGACGCCATCCCGGGGAGGCGTTCGCTGGTGGACCCCGCAGGGGCGTTCCCGACGGGCGCCGATGGCTAGTGCAGCGTCGACGCCGGGGGACCGCGGACGGGGATGGCGAGGAGCAGGGAGGAGTATAGCACGGGGACGTGCTTGTCACAGGATCGAATGTGTCGAGGAAAGGTTGCACTATCGATCGGTACAAGGCGCTTTTATACTTCCAGAATACATCAGGTAACCAGGTTTATCTTATCCTAAGGGAATAGACCCTTCTAGAAGATAGAATCACCCTGCGTATAGCCACGCGAGGCTATTGGCTTTAAGAGATTACGACAGGATTACGCTAGATAGCGTGTCTAGAACATTCCATGCTTGGTCGGTGATATAATTATAATAAAGGAAGAGACCAAAGGATAATGGAAAAGGAAGAATAGGAAACCAAATGAGATGCGGTAAAAAGAAATGACAAGGGAAGGAAATAAGAAAAGGCCAAGTGGTGTAACGGGGTCGTACTCTCACACTTCCCCCCCTCAAAGCTGGGTGGTAGAAGTAACACCCTGCTTGACAAGGTAGTCATGCAGAGGACGACGGGCGTTACCCATGTCGGACTCAGGTACCCAGCTGTCCTCAGAAGGATCATAACCCTTCCAACGGATGAGAAGCTCCACGGTGCCATTCCGACGACGACGATGTGCAAGCACGGACTCGACCTCGTACTCGGGTTCGTTCTGGACGAGGACGGGCGGCGGCGGCGGCGGCTGGCGTCCGACGAAAATTGTGTTCGGGTCCCGATAGGGCTTCAGAAGTTGGACGTGGAAGGCGTTGTGAATCTTCCAGGTAGCTGGTAGGCGTAAGCGGAAGGTAACAGGAGTGACCTGTGCTTCAACGAGAAAAGGCCCGCAGAAGCGAGGTCGAAGTTTAGATGGGAGATGGCTGATGTCCAGGTTACGGGTGTCGAGAAGCACCTGGTCCCCCACCGTGAGGGTGTGATCGTTGCGATGGCGATCGGCTTGGCGCTTTTGTTGCTGTTGAATGTCAAGGAGGCGCTTATGGGTCCGATCCCAAAGTTGATGCATGGTTGTGATGAAATCATGTGCTGGTTGGACTGTAGCTGATATTGTCGGTTTCTGTGGTGTGAGTGGGTGGCGTCCGTAGCAGAGGAAGAACGGCGTCTGTCCAGTAGCGGCATGTGTAGCATTGTTGTAAGCAAACTCGAGAACGGGCAGGTGCAAGTCCCATTTGGAGATGTCGTCCTTGCAGGCTGCTCGGAGGAGTTGCTCAACAATTTGGTTGAGGCGCTCGGTCTGTCTGTCTGTCTGCGGATGGTATGCGGATGACATGGCGAGTTTGGTGCCGAGCAGAGACATGAGTTCCTTCCAGAACTTGCTGGTGAACTTGGGGTCTCGGTCGGAGATGAGTGTTGTTGGAATGCCATGCTGTGAGATGATGTGACGAACGAAGAGCTGTGCTGTCTCCTCGGTGCGTGCCGTCGTGTGTGTCGGGATGAAGTGTCCCATTTTGGAGAACTTGTCAATGACGACAAGGATGGCGTCATGACCGCTGGAGGTAGGTGGTAACCCGGTGATGAAATCTAGGCTAACCACTTGCCATGGTTGTTCTGGGACAGGAAGAGGCTGCAGTAGTCCCGCCTTTTTCTGCTTGCTGCTCTTCATCCGCTGACATGTATCACACGAGGTGACGAATTTCTGGACGTCGTCTGCCATATGGGGCCAGTAGTAGTGTTTGGCGATACCGGTGAGCGTCTTGTTGCTACCGAAGTGTCCGGCGTAGAGGACGTCGTGATATTCTTCGAGTAGTAACTGGCGCAAAGGAGGGTAATTGGGTACCCAGATTTTTGTGGATCCCTTCCGGTATGCGATGTTATTGTCCCACTGTAGCAGATGTCGCCTTTCTGCCAAGGGAATGTCGGGGTCGATGGCGTACCCGTGGGTGAAGAGTCCCTTGAGTAGTGGATTCATCCCTTCGATCTGAATCGCGGCAACGTGTGCAGGCCGGCTGAGAGCGTCTGCTTTGTTCTTGTGGCCGGGCTTGTACACGATGTCGTAGTGGAAGTGTGTCTCGAGGAAGTCGATCCACCGGACCTGCCGCCTGGAAAGGTTGGGTTGTGTCTTCAAGTATTTCAGGCTGCAGTGGTCGGTGTAGACGGTCGTTCTTCGTCCTTCGAGATAGCATCTCCACGCTTTGAAGGCGATGACGATAGCAAGAGCCTCTTTGTCGTGTATCGGGTAGTTGAGTTCTGCCCCGTGCAGTTTCTTGCTGAGGTAGGCAATTGGTTGCAGTCCATTCCCCTGGTCTTGCATCAAGACTGCTCCCACTGCCTGGTCGCTGGCGTCAGCTTCGATTACGTAGTCGCGTTCGGGATCTGGCAAGATGAGCACCGGTGCGGACGTTAGTGCTTGTTTCAGCTGCTCCACGGCTTCCTGGTGCTTCGTCTCCCATTTGTAGGGCGTGTTCTTCTTCAGCAGATTCGTGAGTGGTGCCGCGAGTTTCGCATACTGTGGCACGAACCTGTTATAGTAATTAGCGAAGCCTAGGAACTGCTGCAACTCCTTCACGTTCTCGGGTGTCTTCCACGTACGTACGGCTTCGACTTTCTTGGGGTCGACGTGAACTCCTTGAGCGCTCACCAAGTGTCCTAGAAATTGGACTTTCTCCAGGGCGAATTCGCTCTTGGACAGTTTGACGTAGAATCGTTCTCGTCGAAGAATTTCGAAGACGCGTCGCAGGTGTTCGACGTGCTGCTTCATGTCGCGTGAGTAGATGAGTATGTCGTCCAGGTACACCACCACGCACTCGTCCAGAAGTGGTCGTAGAATGTGGTTCATTTCGGCTTGGAACGTTGCCGGTGCGTTGGTGAGTCCGAACGGCATGACCAAATACTCGTACGATCCGTACCGAGTTCGAAAAGCAGTTTTGTGGATAGAGTTGTCCGCCATCCGTATTTGCCAGTATCCGGACCGCAGATCCAGTTTGGAAAATACCGTAGCTCCCCGAAGCTGGTCAAGCAGGTCATCGATTCGCGGTATCGGATATTTGTTCTTGATGGTCTGCTTGTTAAGAGCTCGGTAGTCGATGCACATGCGCAGGCTTCCGTCCGGTTTCGGGGTGAAGAGTACTGGGGCACCGTATGGTGAAGTAGATGGTCGGATGAGTCCTTTGGCCAGGAGATACTCGATTTGTTTCTTCATGTCGGTCAGCTCCGTAGGACTTAGCCGGTATGGTGCTCGGAAGGTCGGCTTCGAACCTGGTTCCTCCACGATCTCATGTTGATGTGTGCGGTATGGCGGTAGCTCGTTCGGTAGGTCGTCAGGAAGAATGTCTTGGAACTCCTTCAGCAATTCCTTGATTTTTCCTGGAAGTTCCGAGATCTTCTCCTTGCCGTCTTCCACCTCTGTTGCTATCGCCAGGAACCCGGTGTCGGTCCGCTTCACGTCCTTCTCGAATCGTGCGAGTGTCTCCACTGGGATATCTCCTGTATCGTCCCAGTTGGGTAGCTGTACTCTCCGTCCATTGTTGTAGATGCTTGCGGTGCGGTTTACCCAGTTGATCTCGGGGTTGAATCTCCTCAGGAAGTCTCGCCCGAAGATCAAGTCAAGCCCTTTGATGTTGGTGATGGGGAGTGCAGGTCTCCAGCGCAGTGGTCCAATTTGTAGATGTAGCACTGCTTCGCCGTGTACTGGTAACTTGCTGCCGTCCACCATCGTTGCAGAGAATCCTGAAGGCTTGTACTCTTCCCGGAGTCGGTCGATCATTGCCTTGTCGCAGACGGTGTGTGACGCTCCGCTGTCCACGAGTGCTTGGAGGCGTCGTCCTTTGCAGATGACCTCGAGCACGAGGGGCAGTCGTTGCTCGGAGTACCCAAAGATAGTTTCATTGATTGGGTCATAGGGTACATCCCAATACTCCGTACACACCTTGGTGTTGCTGTCTACTCCTGAGCTGGCAGCTGGCCGAGGCTGCTTGGAGAACGGCTCTTCTCCAGGGCCCCGAGTTTCCTTGATGACTGTGCGCGTTACTGATGCCGAAGAACTGGATGCATCCGTAGAAGGAGTTCGGGGTTTGTGCAGCTTCTTGTAGACCCCCAGCTTCCTCTTGAGCTGCTTCAGCTCCACCGACGTCTTCCCTGGGGAACGGGTAGTCGTTGTGGGCTGGTGTCGGGAGAGGACGTTGACTCCGTGGAAAGGTCGGCTTCTTTCCACACTCCTTAATTTGGTCCCCAAGTTGTCCGGTACCGGTATAATCTCCACAGCTGTCTGCTTCTTTTGGAGTCCCTCCCGAAATTTCTCCAAGGCTCTAGCCCCTCGAACATCATAAGTTTTCATTAAAGCATCTTTATAAGATAACTTTAACGAACTCTTATAATTTCTTGGGTCTTCAAGGAGTTTCCCTGTCTCGGCAGAGTCTTTTTTCGCGGAGTCGTAATTTTCCTCGGCGATTTTCCCTGGCGAGGACTGGTCGTGGGGTGGAGATTTTCCCCCATCATTTCCTCCTTCTCGCATCGAATCAGCTTCGTCGAAGTTGATTTTTTCGGAATCCCGCGGCCGCTTTCGGATCTTTTTATTTTCGCCAGCTAGATCCGCAATCACTGGCGACTCCCGTTTTTTGTTTTCTGATTGGCCGAAAGATTTCCGCCACTGTTGCGTGCCCGATACTCTGCGCGTGCGGCCTTCATTTTGTTGCAGTCGAAGATTCGGTGGCTCGGCACCCCGCAAAAATCACACGTGTAGTTGGTGTTTTTCGGACGTGGCCGCCCCTCGAATCTGTCGACTTCCATCGGGTCGGCGAACGTGGGGTGAGCCGAGCGGTCGCCATGTCGCGTACTGCCGACGTGCGTCCGTCGTGTTCCGGCGTTGACCATGTCGAAGCGCTCCGCGGCCGAAACGACGTCACTGTAGTTCGCGTAGTTTGACGCTGCGACTTGTCGTTTGACTTCGGTCTTCAGCCCTGCGAGGTACGATTGCACTTTTTCCCCTTCGGTCAGGTCGGGAATGCGGTTATAAAATTCCTCCATCTGCTGCGTGTACTGTGCTACACTCCCGAACTGTCGATGGCGATGAATTTTTTCGCGGGCAAGGAAACCTGAATTTATCGGTTCGAAGCGTTTCAGCAGGTCGGCGCGGAACTGCTGCCACGTGGCTTCACCGTGGATGAAGGTGCTGTTGCCGCCAATCCACTCGAGTGCCGGCCCTCGCATTAGTGTCGCCGCGAGTCGTACGCGTTGACCGTCCCAGACTGGCGAGCTCCATCCGACGGCTGCGAAGTAGATCTCCATCCCGGCGATCCATCTGCGGGCGTCGGAGTTTCGATCGCTCGGATCGAACGGCTCAGGTGGGCGCGGTTTCGGAGCCTCGAGAAACTGCTGCGACTGCTGCGTCGTCGCCGTTGTCGTCTCGTGCTGCGCTCCGGCGAGTCGAGTTACTCGCTCGAACTGGTTTCGCCACGCTTCGCGATCTGCTCGCATTTCCTCCTGAAGGGCTGCGATGCGCGCGAAGAGCTGCTGGGTAACCTCGGCGTTGTCGAAGGTTGCCATCCTGTTCAAAACACGCACGGAGGGGGTAATTCGAAAATCGCGGAGCTGGTGCTTACCAGAATCGGCGTCGAATTGGTCGCCCCCGGCGGTTTTTCGAGGCAGGATCCCCGCTTAGCTGAGCGCGGTCGAGTGAGAAAAGCTCTGATTACCAAGTGTCACAGGATCGAATGTGTCGAGGAAAGGTTGCACTATCGATCGGTACAAGGCGCTTTTATACTTCCAGAATACATCAGGTAACCAGGTTTATCTTATCCTAAAGGAATAGACCCTTCTAGAAGATAGAATCACCCTGCGTATAGCCACGCGAGGCTATTGGCTTTAAGAGATTACGACAGGATTACGCTAGATAGCGTGTCTAGAACATTCCATGCTTGGTCGGTGATATAATTATAATAAAGGAAGAGACCAAAGGATAATGGAAAAGGAAGAATAGGAAACCAAATGAGATGCGGTAAAAAGAAATGAAAAGGGAAGGAAATAAGAAAAGGCCAAGTGGTGTAACGGGGTCGTACTCTCACAGTGCTGGTGGCACCTTCGTCCAGGCTGTGCGGGTGGCACCTTCGTCCAGGCTGTGCAGGTGGCACCTTCGTCCAGGCTGTGCAGGTGGCACCTTCGTCCAGGCTGTTCGTCGCAGATTGGCGGACGCGGCTGTTATCTCGGGGGCGGAGGCCAGGGCGGAGAACCCTAGCAGGGCGGAGTTTAGACTAAGGGAGTCACTGGCTGGAGGAGAAGGCGCTGCTGCTGGGAATGACAAGGAAGGTTCGGGTGACTCTAGATATACCCCTTCTTCCGAGGGGGACTCCGAGTCTGTGACTAGGGAAGACAGTGCTGCAGAAGGTGGGGGCCCGAGGCGGAGTGGGGCCCAAGCCGCCCTGAGCCAGTGAAATGCGGAATTCGAGGATTTTCCGAACCCGAATCCCCAATTTCTCTCGCCCGAGGCGCTGGCGGTCCGGGATGATCTTTTCGCCCAGGTTGCCAGCTGGGATACCGCTCCCCTTTGCGACATTCGCCAACCCCCTCTTGCCCGCCACCCACCCCGCCACATTCGGGACCAGTTCGTCAGCTGTCTGCTGGCCTCGCTTCTCTGATTGGCCAAGGACCCTGACTCGGTGCCAGCTTGGCGCCTTCTGATATTCCTTGCCTGCCTTACCCTCCGTGTTGGCACAGCCCGCAAGCCTGATTGGCCCTCCGTCGAGCGTCGTCTGGACTCATTTTGCCAGGGTTCGTGGGCAGATCTTTATGCCGAAGCAGTAGCCGCCATCACTCTCCCTCCCCCCAAGCGCCACATGCCTGATAGGACTGGGATTCTGTACCGTGCCACGGGCTTAGCTAAGCGCGGGAACCTTGGCAAAGCACTCCAGGTGCTGGAAGCCACCCCGGTCAGCCCTTCCACAGCCGAGACGCTTTCCGCTCTCCATTCTCGCCACCCACCTGCCTCACTCGACATCCCAGAATGGGTCCTCTCACACGATCTCGAGCGTAAGCCCACGATCTCGGCGAAGTCATTTCGCCGCATCATTAGCCAGCTTCCTGATGGCGTAGGAACTGGCCCCTCGGGGACGTCCTTCGAAGTCCTGGGCAACGCGGCGCTTCACAACTCTGACATCTACGGCCACCTCCTAGTTCTCACGAACGCGGCCCTCGCTGGTGCCCTTTGCCCCGAGGCCTCCGCACTGCTCACCTCTTCGGGCCTCCTTGCCTTCTCAAAGCCTGGTGGCGGCACTAGGCCCATTGCCGTCGGCGAGTACCTCCACCGTCTACTTGCCAAAGCCGCGTTCCACCTCGCCACGCGGCCTGCCCAACTCCACTTCGCCCCCATTCAGTTCTGAGTCGCCATCTCCGGCGGCGTGGAGGTGATAATCCACATCACCCGCGCCTATCTCGACATCAACTCGGGGCACATCACTCTCCAAATTGATGTTTCAAACGCGTTCAACGCGATCGAGCGCGCCGCCATCTTCGCGGGGCTCCGAGGAACACCCTTGGAGTTCCTAGTCCCCTTCGTTTGGCTCTCATACGGTGGCCCCTCCGCCCTCCATGTCGACCACGGCTTTGATTCCCCCCCCCTCGCCAGCGCACGCGGGGTTCGCCAAGGGGACCCTATGGGTCCTCTCCACAGGGTGTGCCACCCGAGACGCTGCCACCTGGCGTCTCCGCCAGCGCCACGTGTCAGCGCATCCTCGGCAGTCCCGTGGGGCCGGTAGACGCCTGCGCCGCCGCCATCCGCGACCGCCTCGACACCGGTGCCGCCCCACTGCTATTGATCGCGGAGCTGGATCCCCAGATCGCCCTCCTCCTCCTCACCCGCTGTTTCACCCGCCGCGCTAGTTACCTGCTCCGCTCGACCCCCCCGGAGTGCCTCCACCAGGCGGAGTGGGATGCCTGGGGCGAGCGGCTCTTCCACACGGCGTTGGCTGCCTGCCGTTTGCCGCTCCCCCGCGCCAGACTCGAGAGGCGGCGGGTATGGACGCAAGCCTCCCTCCCAATCACCCTCGGTGGGCTTGGGATTTGCAACCCTGCTGCTGCTGAGGCTGGAGCGGCATATCTCACCTACACGGCGGCTGCTGCGCATTTGCTCAGTGCCCTCCTTCCAACCCTCCCCGCTACGCTGGGCCAGCTCCTGCCCCTCTTCGACCCCGACCCTGCCGCTCCAGCCCCTCTGCCGTGTCGGCTAGCCGCGCTGGAAGCCACCCTCCCAGACGCTGCTGCTGAGCTGTTTCGGGAAGAGCGCGCTTCCCCCGACCCTCCCATACTGCAGCGGGCTTTGGCTCTGCAGGTCCAGGCGGAGCACTTCACCACGCTCCTACAGGAAGCCCGCCAGCTGCCCCTGAACCCACTCCAGGGGAATACCCAGCGCCTCCTCTCCCTTTTGGGCCCGAGGGCGGGGGACTGGCTCCACGCCCTCCCCCTCTCCCCCTCCCTGCGCCTCTCCCCCGGCCACTTCTCCACCGCTGTCGCCTTCCGCCTCGGCCTTCCGCACGCTACGCCGGGACGCTGTGATTGCTGGCGGCGTGTCGACATCCAGGACCCCCGATTCCCCAACCACCTTCTCAGGTGTGACACGGGCCATGGACGTACCGGCACGCACCACGCCCTCTGCGATGAGTGCGCTCGGATCGCCCTCGAGGCAGGCTTCATCACCCGCACCGCATCAACCTCTTCACCCCCGTCACGAACCTCAGGGCGGATGTGGCAATCCGCCACCCCGAATCGGGGGCGGTTTGGATCTGTGACGTGACCGTCACCGACCCCATCTTGAAGGAGGACGAGCATGCCCGTCGCGGTAATGGGTGGGCAGTCCGAATCGCCGCCCGTGGGAAGGAGCGTAAGTACTGCCCGCCTGCCCGCCCCGAGTGGGTCGGATTCTATGCCCTGGCCGCCGAGACCTACGAGCTCACCTCCCCGAGGGTCTTCCGCTTTCTCTGCGCCTGTGCCGAGCTGGCGGCGAAACGCCGTTACGACGCTGCACCTTCCTATAGCGAGGCCGCCAAGCTGTTCCACGAGTACCGTCAACGTTGGTCGGTCACTCTGCAGCGCGGGCAGGCCGTCACCCTCAACACGAAGATCAACCAGGCCCTCGCGGCTGAAGAGAGCCCGCTGGGTTTCCCCGCGGAGCGCCTCCCTGTGGGTGACCTGCTACAGGTCCTCGAGCCCGACCTTGGCGAGCCTTAGGATCGCCGTGGTCTAAGGAGCTAGGCGTTCGGAGTTGCCTGTTTTGTTTGCTGCTTTCCAGCTACAGCCTGCCATGCCTGTACCATACCACCTACGTAATACAAGGACAAGTTAGGAAACGAGGGCGGAGGGGGGGGATGGGGGCTTGCTGAGTTGGCTTCTGAGTTGCCTAAACAATGTGCATAGGATAGGTCTATACGTGCTGCACTGCAAGAAACCTAATGGTTGGAAGGAAAAGAGGGGCAGGGAGAGGGCGGAGGGGATGGGGGGGTGGTGAGTTGCAAGAGCACCACGCAGTGGGTTCTGTCGCTAGATTTAGAATTCAAAATAAAGTGGCTGAGAGCTATTTTGTAAGCACTTTGCGTATAGTTTCTCCAGTCCGGACAAGACTTGTGAGGCACGCACATCACTGTGGGAAATAGAATGCCACTCCCTTCCATTTCTTCCTTTTCTAAATTACAGAGATTGCGGTCAGAACTACTGTAGGGGGGAGTGGCACGCTGCTGCCATATGGATTGGTCCGACGGCTGGGGATCAGCCATATGGCTGGGCCCGAGAACAATATTTTCAGTTCGGTTACGTCTAGGGAAGACTGCGTCTGAGTTGCCTCAAAAGAACTGCCGCCATATGGGTTGGTCCAACGGGCTGGGTGGGTCTGACAACAGAATAGGCAAATCGGTTACGGATAGAGAAAAGACAAGCCAGTTGTGGGTGATCTTGAAGAGAGGGACTCACCGTGATTGCAGTGAGAACACCGTAGAGGGCAATCATCCACTGTGGTGGGAGGGAGGGATGGAGGGAGGGATGGAGGGAGGGAGAGAGGGAGAAGGGGAGGGAGGGAGGGAGAGAGAAGGGGGGGGAGGGAGGGAGAAGGGGAGGGAGGGAGGGAGGGAGAAGGGGAGGGAGGGAGGGAGGGAGAAGGGGAGGGAGGGAGGGAGAAGGGGAGGGAGGGAGGGAGGGAGGGAGGGAGAAGGGGAGGGAGGGAGGGAGGGAGGGAGAAGGGGAGGGAGGGAGGGAGGGAGAAGGGGAGGGAGGGAGGGAGGGAGGGAGGGAGGGAGGGAGGGAGGGAGAGGGGAGGGAGGGAGGGAGGGAGGGAGGGAGGGAGGGAGGGAGGGGAGGGAGGGAGGGAGGGAGGGAGGGAGGGAGGGAGGGAGGGAGGGAGGGAGGGAGGGAGGGAGGGAGGGAGGGAGGGAGGGAGGGAGGGTGTGAGGGAGGGAGGGAGGGAGTGAGGGATGGAGGGATGGAGGGAGGGAGGGAGGGATGGAGGGAGGGATGGAGGGAGGGAGGGAGGGAGGGAGGGAGGGAGGGAGGGAGGGAGGGAGGGAGGGAGAGAGGGAGGGAGGGAGGGAAGGAGGGAGGGAGGGAGGGAGGGAGTGAGGGAGGGAGGGAGGGAGTGAGGGATGGAGGGATGGAGGGAGGGAGGGAGGGATGGAGGGAGGGATGGAGGGAGGGAGGGAGGGAGGGAGGGAGGGAGGGAGGGAGGGAGGGAGGGAGGGGTGGGAGAGAACAGGAGGAAAAGGCTGAAACGCGATGCACCGAGATTTCAGTGTGAATGCCGTAGAGGGCAATGATCCACTGCGGTGGGGTTGGGGGAGGGCCAGAGGGAGGGTGGGAGGAAGGGACGGGCGGAGGGAGGGAGCGAGGGAGGGAGGAAAAGAGGGAGGGAGGGATGGAGGGAATAAAGTGTGACAGCAGTGACGGAAAAACGAAGGGATGGGGCACGCACAGCAGCACAACAGAAGCCTACCATGGGGGGGGGGTATTTGGAGTAACTCAGAACTGAGTAAGTGTGACAACAGGTGGGGGTGACGAAGAACAAGGAACATAAAGCAACAAAGGTCCCTTCCGTTCACCGCCCAGCACAGGAAGAGGTGACTTCTGAGTCGACTCAAAAGACACAGGAGAGGTGCCTAAATTGACTTAGAACTGCGTAGCGTGACACCAGGCGGTGGTGACACTATCAAAGCAAGGGAAGCTCACCAATGGGGAGGAGTCCAGTTTAGAGTGACCTGGAATTGTGTGAGTGTGACTACGGGTGGGAGTGACTGTGTCAAAGTTGGGAAAGCTCACCAAGGGGGAGGAGTCTAGAGTGACTTGGAACTGCGTGAGTGTGACTACAGCGAAGCCAGCAAACAGCGCTGCGAGGTTCGAGATCGCCTTGAGCTGCTCCGACTTCTCCTCAACGTCTCGCCGGTTCTTCTCGACAAACCTAGGGAGGGGGGAAGCAGAGCGAGGGGAGTGGCAGTAAGGTAGGGAGAGGGGCGAGATGGAAGGTACGTGGTCGCCTTGAGCTGCTCCGACGTCTCCTCCACATCTCGCCAAATTTTCTCCACGAATACAGGGAGGAGGAAAGGAAAGTGCGTGGAAAGGCAGCAAGAAGAGGGGGGGGGGGGCGGGGGAGGGAGATGGAAGGAGGCTGAAAGATCGCCTTGAGCGGCTCCGACTTCTCCTCCACGCCCTGCCGATTCTTCTTCTCAAACCTTTTCCGACTCGCCATTGAAGGGACTTTTGAGTTACGAATGCGTTGTCGTAAGTCAACGAGGGGTGGGGGGTGTGCGAGGCATTTTGGCCTTTCCTGCTGGAGCGGAGGACCTAGTGCTGAGTACCGGACTCTATGCCTCCTGGCTTAGGTGCTCACCTGCGAGCACCTAAGCCTGCTGGCTATCTCTCTGACGGACATTGAACCTGACTCCATCCATACTCGACAATGCACCTGAAAATGCACCTGACTCTGCACACTGTACCTGGCCCAGAGGTATCTTGCATTGTCCACGTGGCGTTGGTTCATGTCCTCCTCTCGCCACCTGGTGCCAGGCGCAATGTACAGTGTACAGTGCGGATTGTGCTTAGTGCCGTATGAGTACAGACTATAGCAGGCAAACAAATGCAGGCAAACACGCATTCCAGACACAGTCACACAGTCCAAAATGTGAGAGGTCTTTGAGAATCCTATAGACCTTAGAGTCCACTCAAAGGACTTCGAGAGAATCCTGAAGCCCAACCCACTATGATCAACTCGCCTCTCTCACTCCCCCTCTTCCTCCTGCTCCCCCCCACCTCCCCACCACCTCCCCCCTCACCGTCCCCCAAGCTCCCCTGCCTCATCTCTAAGCTCCGCACTTCTGCCTCCTCAAACCATCTTTGCTCCTCCTCTCCCTATTCGCTCCCCTACCCGCTCCCCTATCCGCTCCCCTATCCACTCCCCTATCCGCTCCCCTATCCGCTCCCCTATCCGCTCCCCTTCCCCCCATACCTGCTCCCCCTAACCGACCCCCCTACTCGCTCCCCCTGCTCCCACCGCCCGCTCCCCCTCCCCCCTTACCTCACTTCCGCGCTCCGCATTTCCGCCTCTTCCCCAAACCATCTGCGCTCCTCCTCGCGGAACGCCAGGTCGTCCGCGCGCCACTGGCGGTCCTGCGCGCGCCACCGGCGGTCCTCGTCGCGCCACTGCCGCGACAACGACGTGTCGAACGCCGCCAGCACCGCCTGCGCGGCTTCCATCGTGCTCGCCATAGGTCGCTAATAGTCTCTTAGCTAAGTACTGCTTTTGTGGCTGCTAAGGCGAGCAATTCACGCAAATGGTGGTCACTGCCGGTCACTGCCGAGCTATTCGCGAGTCTGCCGCGAGAAGGACGCGTCGAACGCTGCCAGCACCGCCTGCGCCGCCTCCATCGTGCTCTCCATTGGGTTCAGCGCTCTTAACTAACAGCGATTTTCCTGTCTAAGTAGAAGGAACGGTTTGAGGTTAATGATTGTCACTGGCGGTCCTCGTCAATGGCGCCATTGCCACGACACGGACGTGTCGAACGCCGCGAGCACCGACTGCGCTGCTTCCATCGCGCTCGCCATCGTTATAAAGCTTCTGAAAATAAGAGACGATGGCTTTAACATCCTGTGCTACTCCAGCCCCGCGAGCACGGCCTGTGCCGCTGTTATCATGCTCGTCATCGCTTACTAGTACGGGCTATAAGTATAAGATCCGCAGAGGAACTCGGCTGCTTTCCTGTCCTAACTCCTAACCCTAAACAAGGATTAATGCCGCACTCGGGCTCCTACTTACGGCAATAGTAGTGGCATGCCTAGATTCCTAGGACAGCAAAAACGTCAGGCGGGTCGGTAAAGTGAAGAAAAATTTCCACCACAGTGCCGTTGTGAAAAATGGCACATAAGGGAATCCGACCGTTGCTGATTTCATAACCTGGAGGGAGTGCTTCCACTCGCAGGACGCGCGCACATGCGTGCATACAGCTGGTCCATTTGAGGCTGCATCTGTGATGTACACCAAAAAAATATGTCATGATTTTGTATAAAAGCGAACTATATTCACTAAAATTAGGTTCGGTTCACAAAAAGGTTTCTGTTGATAAAGGGTACTAGTCTAGTACTTTTGAACTACTTTGCACTGTAAACAGAATGGCCAGCCCATTTTCCCGTAGCAGTTTGTTTCCATACAGTAACTACACCATCTGCTCCAACTGCTGCAATACTGGAGCCGAGCAGATCCCAAGATACTTGATGTACCTGTGACAACAGACCGGAAATCGGAACATGCGAAGAAACGGAAAATATTAACAGTCGATAATCGCAGGAGAAACTTGACTGAACCTACGGAGCTTGCTCTCATGTCTCAAGCAGTAATGATAAAGGCCATTGCACATTATGCGGTGGCCAAGTCCCAATGTGGAACTTGGTAAGTGCAGAGTCTGAAATGGTGAATATGGATGAAAGGGCGTCACCTTACTGGAGTTGGGGGAGAATTTAAGTTGTGAATAAGCTGTGACAAATGGAATGATTTACCTGACATGCACTGGTGGAGGTAAGCCGAGCCACATGCCGAACCTGAACCAAGGCTTTAGAAGCCCTGGAACGGTAACTCCGAGCCTCGGCACCATCCTCCATGGCATCTAGCGCTCCATCAGGCTCAGCAAACTGCGCCGAGCCAGACAGGTTTGGATAGTCTATCCGGGCCAGATGCACGGCGGAAGCAGCGGCCAAGGCAACGACATCGAAGGGCCTGATTGATGTTAAAGAGGAGGGAGAGGAGGATGCTCAGGACAGCCAAGTTAGACGAGGCTATACGTTGACACGTTGAGAGAAGGCAGAGCGAGAAAGCACAAGGGAAGCGAGTGCAACAGGCGAGGGAAAGGGGGAGGGGATGGCAAGGCAGGCCCAGGTGCGCTTGCAGGCAGTGGGATGGGGTGGCACTCTGAGACTCAGTACACGCGGCAAAACTCAGAAACTGAAGCGACGCGGTGAGGAAAGTAGAAACGGACAGTCTCTATTGCAGGCAGACAACACATGCCTACGAGACTTCACTCTAGGCCATCACACAACAAACTGGACCTGCCAAGGGACTCTTTCACAAGCACCCCTTTTTCCAGGCGCCTTTTGACGGCATCTTGTCAGGCGCCTCACGCGACTAGGCTATCAGGCAAGCCGCACCTGTCAAGGGGTATTTTGAGTCAACACAAAACACATCTTTTGACTGCATCTTGTCAGGCGCCTCAAACAACTGCACGACTAGGCTATCAGGCAAGCCGCACCTGTCAAGGGTGGGCGCCCAAGCGATACTCGAGACAGGTGTCGCTTGCTGATTGGTTGATGGGTTAGCAGAGGGGTTGGGCAGGAGATCTGCGATGGCATGCCAGCGCATGTAGCGATCGCTGCGCACCCACACCTGCACACGAGGGTGGTGCGGGGGGTGGGACAACACGGTTTTTTTTTTTTTTTTTTTTAGTCGACTCAAAAGCAGGAGGCAGGGAGAAGGTCGGCAATAGCATGCCAGTGCATGTAGTGATCGCTGCGCACCCACACCTGTACGGGTGGGGGGTGCGGCGGGTAGCAGGGAGAATGTGGCTTTTGAGTCGACTCAAAAGCAGGAGGCAGGGAGAAGGTCGGCAGTGGCATGCCAGCGCATGTAACGGCCACTTGGCACCCACACCTGCACGTCAGGGACGGGAGGGGACAGCAGGGATGATGTGGCTGTGATTGTGCGTGTAGCAAACACTTGGCACCCACACATGCACATGTCGGGGAAGGGAGGGGGCACACGCACCTGAGTTAGCATCAGGGACGTAACCACAACGACCCACCCATTCAGCCGACCCCTCATCTGCTGCGGTTTCAGAGTGTTGGGAGGAGTACGGTCGAGCTATCCCAGTAGAGAATACAGTCCACTTTTGAGTCGACTCAAAAGCTTAAGTGTGTTGGTTGGGAGTACGGTTGAGGAATCCCGGTAAAGGATACAATCCAACTCACCTTGGCTGTGCTGCAGTCTCCCTTGCTGTTGCCTGCTGCACACGTGGCAATAGCCACAGCTGGCGATTGGCCGGAAACACGCGTGGAGGGATGGACGGCTATGATCGCACGCGACAGCAGCTCCTGGCCCATGCTGACGTCAGCATATGGGAACAGTGCCACGTCAGCCTGCATAAGTTCCAGAAAAAAAACAAACAAACAAACAGACAAAAGCGTCTCAATATGAAGGGAGGATGTGAGAATCAGAGAGACAAGAGGTACAGAGAGTCAATGCTATGGGCTTTCTGCACATGAAAGATATTCAGAAAAAAAACCCAAAAAGTCACGAAGTGGGAATGAGGAGGAGGCACACGGATTGAAAATGAGAGGAACGTGGGGAGAAGTGAAGACATCGAGGAGAGGAGGGAGAACGGAGGGAGAGAGAAGGGGGGGAGAGGAGGGAGAGAGAAGGGAAAGAGGAGTGAGGGAGGAGGGAGAGAGAGGGGAGAGAGAAGAGAGGGAGGAGAGGGAGGAGAGGGAGGAGAGGGAGGAGAGGGAGGAGAGGGAGGAGAGGGAGGAGAGGGGAGAGAGGAGAAGAGAGGGAGGAGAGGGAGGAGAGGGAGGAGAGGGAGGAGAGGGGAGAGAGGAGAAGAGAGGGAGGAGAGGGAGGAAAGGGGAGAGAGGGGGACCGGGAAAGAGAGGGGGGGAGAAGGAATCACCTCAAGGGTCCAATCGGAAAGGGTGAGGCAGTCACTGCAGCGATGCACCACCATTCGCCCCTCTGATGTCACTGCCAGCTGGCATGCACACATGACGCCATGCACACATGCACACACGCACGCATGCACACATGTGCACATGCACACACGCATACATGCACACATGCGCACACATTTGCGACACAGACATGCACACCCGGCACACACGCACACAGGCAGAAATGCACATTGCAAGAGTGCGAGCTCAGATGCCAGCTGGCACACTGGCATGCACCCACATGGCACATGCATGCCATAAGCGCATGCACATAAGGAGTGCATCGAAAGAGAGATTTGGGCCGACAGACGGGATTTGCGAGGGAATTTGAGAGTTTTGCCTCGCCTTCGCACACTCCATCTCACCAGCAGCAGCGGGTCAGTGAACGTGCTGCGAAGGTGATTTTTTAGTCGACTCATAAATCACACTCAATCTCACCAGTAGCAGCGGGTCAGTGTAAGTGCTGCGCACAAACGCCAACGCCAACACAGCAGCACCAGATGATGATGATGATGGTGATAAAGAGGAGGAGGAGGAGGAGGATGTAGCCGCCATGCCCCCACTTGGAATAAACCCTCCACCATTCACGCCTCCCCCAGAAGCAGCGCCATTCAGAGCAGACAACAGCATGCTCCCAACATCCACCACTCCAACCAGCCTCCAACGGTTACCACCTCCCCTCCTGTAACCGCCACCACCACCCTCTCCTTCCCTGCCTGCTCCTGATTGGTCAGCCCCTCCCTCCCTTCCATCCCCCCCTCCTCCACCCATCTCCGCATCAGTGAGCATGCCTCCCGCCCCGCCTTCCCTGTTATCCTCATTCCCCGCCTCCCTGGCGGCCCCACTCCCCCCATCCTCCCCCCCTTCCCCTTCCCCCGCGCCCCCAACTTCCCCCCAGATGTGCACGCGGCTGCTCCCCCTGCAAGCCACCGCGAGCTTGCTGCCGAACTCCTGGGGGACCCACACCAGATGCGCTGCTGTTGCTGGGGGAGGGGGTGGGGGGGAAGGGGAGAGAGGACGGGGGAGAAGGGAAGGGGGAAGGGGAGTGGGTGGGGAAGGAGAGATGGGGACGGGGAAGGGAGAGGGGAAGGGGGAAGGGAGAGGGGAAGGGGGAAGGGAGAGGGGAAGGGGGAAGGGAGAGGGGAAGGGGGAAGGGAGAGGGGAAGGGGGAAGGGAGAGGGGAAGGGGGAAGGGAGAGGGGAAGGGGGAAGGGAGAGGGGAAGGGGGAAGGGAGAGGGGAAGGGGGAAGGGAGAGGGGAAGGGGGAAGGGAGAGGGGAAGGGAAGCCGGAAAAGGGAGAGGGGAAGGGAAGGGGGACGGAATAGAGGAGAGTGAGCAAGGGCGTTGCTTCCCAACTCCTGTGGGGTGGGGCCCACCCACACCATGTCAGCATGTGTGCTGTGTCACCTCACCAGTGCCGGGGAACTTTTCTTAAGAATTCTCGAGGCTGCCGCTTCTGGGAGGGACTGCCTCAACCTCTCACGTGCTCTTGAAAATTCTAACGAATTAATGGCATCGACCCGCACCTGCTTTTTCTCCCTTTTTCCCCCCCCCACCCCCACCCCCCCACACCCCCCCCCAGTGGCCAGCTTGCGGAGAGGCTAAGCAGGGGAAACGAGCTGGCGCTGCTGCGCAATAAACCCTCACCCATCTTTCCCCCCTCCGCCATTCCCCCCCACCCCAACGCCCAGTGCGCGGAGAGCCTCAGTGCGGAAAATGAGCGGACGCTGCTTGCGGAAAATGAGCGGACGCTGCTTGCGGAAAGCGGACCCTCACCTGTCTCTTCCCCTCCGCTGCTTCCCCCCCTCCCTGACAGCCAGCTTGCGGAGACGCTCAGCAGGGAAATTGAGCGGGCGCAGCTGCGCAGCAAACCCTCACCCATGCATTCCCCTCCGCCATTCCCCCCACGAACGGCCAGCTGGCGGGCGAGGCTCAGCGGCCAACGCTCTGCGCCGTTGTCGCAGCGCTCTCAGATCCGCAGCGGGCCGTCTCCCCCCGCCCTCCCCCCCTTTCCCCTCCTCCCCCCCTTCTCCCCCCTTCCCCTCCTCCCCCCCCCTTCCCCCCCTTCCCCTCCTCCTCCCCTCCCCCCTCCCCCCTCCCCCCCTTCCCCTCCTCCTCCCCCCCCCTCCCCCCAGGTTCTTTCTTTCCCACGTTCCTCACCCGTTTTCTCCCCTCCGCTTCCCCCCAACGGCCAGCTCGCGGCGAGGGTCAGCGGCCCGCGCTCCGCTCCGTCGTCGCAGCGCTCCCAGATCTGCAGCGTGCCATCCGCCGTGCCGGCCGCCCACCGCGTTCGCGATCCGTTCCACGCGCTCGCTGTCGCCTCGGCTCCGGTATCCCGAACCAGCTGCCGAACCTGCGGGCCAGGTTCGGAATCGATTGTGACGGGTTGAAACGGATACGAAGGGACTTGCTGAGGCCAGTGTGCGTGAAGGAACACTGTAAAAAGTTCGCTAAAGTATCTCCGTTACTACATTCAGCTGCTGTTCTCGTAAAAAAAAGTTGCGTGAGTCGCATGCGAAATTTGTGGATCTTACCTGAGGCATTTTCCACCCGAGCAGAATGTTACCCAACTTGACCACTGAAGGGATCGAAATGACGACGCGACAAAGAGTCAGTCACTCGAAACAGAATAATGAACGTGCTGCGTACCGGAGGCAAACGTTTACACCGCAGCTGATCGCTTGCTGGAACTAATTGCTCCAGTAACAAGCATTAGTACCTGTCCTTGCTGCGCCTGCTAATATATATTAGCAGCTGCAACAAGTGGGTTTCTCCTGGGATCAACTCTCGTGCGACAACAAGTCCGTGTGCAGACCATTGTGTTCGCCGGGCTGTTCGTTTGTGGGACGGGTGGGGTTTCATCTAATATAGCATTTAAATTTGAAAATAGGCGAGGGCGTTCGTTTGATAAGGCAGCAAAGGGGTATTCGGATCGAGTCGCGAGGAGCGTGTTGCGATGAGAAACGAGCTCCTATCGAACCAGATCTCCTGGACCTGCCTGATCCTCGGCAGCTTCGCTCGGCTTGCAAAGAAATGCGGCTTCGAGAGATTCGGAAATGAGGGCGTGGAGCCTACGGTTGCGGTTTCGTTTTGGGTTGCGCAACCCAACATGGTTTCATTTTTGGTGGAAGTCGTCAAGGTTTTTTTTGCGAAAAATGGACACGGGTTGCGTATCCCCTGTCCAGCCCGGTTTCGAAACTCACTTCCGCAACCCAAACCGAAACCCACGTCCGCGCGAACCAAAGAAGCTAACCACTTTGGTCGTCATCCAATTCTAGGTCCGACGAACGCACATGCTCTGTCGAAAATCCAATTCTTTTCGCCGTTGCGAACTGGGCGAAAGGTTCCTCAGTTTCCTATTTCCCATTATTTTTCAATTTGCGAAATTTGAAACAACCCCAACCCAATGTTCCAGGTGTGTTTGGGTTTCCCGCTGGGTTGCGCAAATCCATGTTCCAGTTGCGTTGCGGGGTCACGGTTTGTGGGTTGCTCAGCTGGCAGCGCAACTCACAGATGCGCAACCCTAGGATACACGCCTTGAGAACGGGATTGACAGATCCGAACAAGCTCGACCTCAGATCGGGATTCGGGTCGGATTCTGCAAACCCGAGCAGTCTCTCTTGAAAAAGCTGGTTTGTTTTGGGACGTCCCACGAACGTCCAGAAGAACGTCCCACTTCCAGTAACTGTTACTGGAGGGGCCAAAGTTCTCCACTCGCTGGTTTCGCTGCCCGCTGCAGCTCTGGAAGTCATCTGACTCGCAAGTTACGATCGACGACCACCAGGATTTCTTGTCAGAGGAATCGACGATCACGGTGAGCTCGGCAATCTCAAGGGTACAGTTTCAGTGGGCAGGGCAGGCAAGCAGGGGAAATGATCAGAAAGGGTCCTCGCTCTGCCAGGGGTGTGAGCAAAAAAGGTCCGCCTACCTCCGAACCTGTAATACACTCCGTTTATTTTTAGTACTTACCAGTCAACGTTTATCAGCGAATAGGCAAAAACATAAACCCATTTGGGACCGAATTCCGTTCGAGATGGCATCAACCCTAAACACGCAGCTCTTTTGCGATTTTAGGGTTGATGCCACCCGGAGTCGCATGTGAGGGCCCTATGGGTTTGAGTTTTAGTTTTAGTTTTTTTTTTAATGCTTTAAAACACTGTTCGTATAAATGTCCCACCTCACCAGGCCATGATACGACGCGCCCCATAAAACTGAGCTGTGTTGCGAACCAAAACTATTTACGTGTTGTACGACGAAGGCGATGTATCACAGGTTCGGAGTCAAGGTCCCGGGTCAGAAAGCTGCTGGACCTTTTTTGCTCACGCCTCTGGCGGGGAAAGGACCTTTTTTTTATCATTGCCCGGCAAACAGCCATATGTGCTGCATTGCATCCATCCAGCAGCCAACAAGGTGACAGAACAAACCTCGGAGTTGCCGCTGCCTGCTGCCGAATTGAAACCCCCTGGTAACATCTGAGTTTTGTTCTCGCGAAGTATCGCTCTACCCGAGTGCGATGGAGTTTGGAACACAAACCGTCGCCAGCGACGTTGCTGGAGCGTCGCTCACCTGGCTGCGACGCAGCCATCCTGCAGGAACTATTTCGCGCACATCCATGCAACCTGAAACATGGAGGTCTATTCCAGCTGGCTGTGGCTCATGAGGGAATCCATGGCGGAATTATGAAGCTTGCAACGAGACAAGAACTGCCTCAGTTACTCTCCGTCTAGTCGAGGGACTAGTGACTTGGTTTGCCAGCGCAAAGGACTTCAGAGGGAGGTGCGGGAAAAGAGTGCTGGTGTGCCAGTGTCGGAGCGGCGGCTGGCAGTCACAAAATTGCAGCAGTCAAGTCAGCCTGGTTCCTTAGCAGGCGTAGTTCAGCGCCGAAATGCTCATCACTGCGACGAATTGGCTGCACATAAGATTTCGCACGAGTTCATTCACTCGCTTGCCGTGTCCATGCTCCCACTTCCATTCCCATTCCCATTCCCATTCCCATTCCCACTCCCACTATTCTCATTATTCTCATTCCTATCTCGCCGGGTTCACCCAGACCGGCTAGCGCCTCGGTTTCGTCCCAGAGGGCTTTCTTCGTTTCCTGCCGTTTCACTTCGAACGAGGGGCTTCCTTCCAGCTACTGTCAGAGCCAGCTTAGCTACGAAATTCCAAGGGCAATTGGACAGTATCGCATAGGATCGAGTAGGATCGCATAGGATCGCATAGGATCGCATAGGGTCGCACAGTATCTGGGGTTTCAGCATGAATCGGAGAAGCAACGCGAGAGTAGCCGTGCAGCAGTCAGTGCTGCCGCAACGAGCTGCCGTTCTGTCGTTTGCTTCAACGTTTTCCGTCAACGGGTGCCGAGAATCTCGGTTCTCGTCGACCGGCCAGAATGCCTTAGACGCGGTGGCTGCTGAAGAAACAGCGACATTGGCGAAATCGGCGACATTGACGAGTGCCGCGACTGCAGCAGCAGGAGCGGCAAGAGAAGCAGCTGAGGCGACGGCAGCTGCGGCTGCGGCCAGGCTTCCCCCGCCTCGAGCCTCCGCGCTTTCTTGCGGGCGGTCGTCCGTGTCTGCAGCGACAACCCCGCGAAATTTCGACGACGGGGTTACGTTTCGCCGAGGAGGCAGCGTTGCGGATAGCGTTTGGGGCAGCAGTAGCGGCAGCAAGAGCGTGGCCCGCAGGGACGGCGGCGGCGGAGACGGCAGCGGCGGCGGGGAGAGCAGCCGGGGCGCGGGGAGCGGGGGCAGGGGGAAGGATGCGCAAGCGCAGCTGATCTTCTACGTGGGGATTGGTCGGCGGTCGGATGGCGCAGTTATAGTGGACCACGGGAAGCAGCGGAAGGTTCTCGGAACCTTGCTGTCGTCGGTGATTGCGGAGCTGCCGTGCCACGTCAGCAGATATTCGCTGGTAAGGATCTCTGATCTCTGATTTGTCCAGTTGTGTGAAATGATACTCATCCAGGCGTGCACCTTAGACTTCTCGTTTGAGACGCCTAAAGGAAAATAATAAAGCAGACTGACGCGAACGAACTATCAGCGGGGAGGGAGGGACTGATTGACTGATTTAGGCTTGTACCTTAGGCTTGTACCTTATGCTTGTATCAGATGGGTTTGCTTTTGAGTCGACTCAAAAGCGAACTATCAGTGGGGAGGGAGGGACTGACTGACTGAATTAGGTTTCTACCTTATGCTCTAGCACCGCGCTCACTGGAATTATGTCCGGAGATGTGCTTGTATCGGATGGGTTTGAGTTGGGGGAGTTTGCAAATGGAAAGAGCGTATGTGGCGTCAGCAGTGGTTAGGGAAGAAGGGGATAGAGCTCCTGTTGTCCACCTGTCAGCAGTGGTTAGGGAAGAAGGGGATAGAGCTCCTGTTGTCCACCTGTCAGCAGTGGTTAGGGAAGAAGGGGATAGAGCTCCTGTTGTCCACCTGTCAGCAGTGGTTAGGGAAGAAGGGGATAGAGCTCCTGTTGTCCACCTGTCAGCAGTGGTTAGGGAAGAAGGGGATAGAGCTCCTGTTGTCCACCTGTCAGCAGCAAGGCGCAAAAAAGCGATGGTCGTTTTAAACGGGCCGTTTAATACGATCGTTTTATACGGCCTTTTTTTGAAAAAAACGCCGTTTTTTTGTTCGAAAACTCCAGTCACAAATTTTTTATTAATCAGTCTAAAAACCTCATGGCACTATCCCTGAGGCATACTGCACTAACTACGACAACAGATTCGCCATAAAAGAGGTGAGTAGAGCTCCCTACCCCTATCGCGCTGCCCCTACCGCCCCCCCCCTACTATTCCTAATCCTCCTCCACTTTCCCTGTGAGCAAAGCTCCCTGCCTTCCTCCGGCACCTAACCCCCCCCTTACTACTTCTACTCCCTCCTCCACCTCCTCCTCCTCCTCGTCATCCTGACTTTGGAAAATTGTGTCAGCTCGAATCTGACTTTGGAGCGACACCAAAATCGAGTCAGCCAAACCAACATACGCGATATACGTATACAATTGTTGGGTACAAAAAAAACGATCGTATAAAACGATCGCTTTTTTGCACCACATCAAAAAAGGGCACATTGACCGCTTTTTATCGTTTTAAACGACGGAATCTTACGATGTCGTTTAAAACGACAAAATTTTGAAAAAAACGCCGCTTTTTTGCGCCTTGGTCAGCAGTGGTTAGGAAAGAGCGTATGTGGCGTCCCGTCATTTCCTTAACAGAGCCACGGCTGCAACCACCTGCCAGAGTCCCGCCCACCACCACCCCCAACGCCGCCCCCTCTCTCTCCTCGGCTTTTCCTCAGTTATCCTCTATGCCGTAGTGCGCCCCTCCTCCTCCCCGCGTGAAGAGTCTATTTTTTAGGCGCCTCAAAAATACACCCCCAACGCTGGCCCCCCTCTCTCCCCCCTTTTTCCTCAATTATTCCGCCATGCCAGAGTGCGCCCCTCCTCCTCCCCCCATTTCCACAGTGTGCCCCTCCCCCCCCATTCCTACAGTGTGTCCCTTCCTCATATCCCCTCCATGCCAACCCCCCCCCCCCCCCCCCCCCCCCCCCCCCCCTTCCACCCACCCCCAAACCCCCGGCGCCCCCCGCTGCCCATTTCCATAGCAAGCCACATCGAGCCGTACTGTTTCCCCTCCCCCTTCCCCCCTCCCTTGTGCTCCCCTTGCTGCGCGAGTCTTCTCCCCCAGGCTACGGCCGCCCCAACCTGCTCCTCTCTCGTCTCAGTCCGCCTTGTTCCCTTAGCCATGACCGATCGCTCCCTCGGCCGAGACTCTTCTTTTCTTCCTTTCCTCCCTCCCTCTGCACTCCATTCTCTCTTCTTCTCGCCCGCTCCCCCACGCTCCCCCAGGGCTACCGCTGCACCAGCACGCTCTTCTCCCCCGCCTCACACGGCCTCCTGCCCTTCGCCATGACCGACTGCTCTTCTCTCCTGCATCCCTCCCTCGCCCCTCACATTCCCCTTCCCCCAGGGCTACGGCCGCACCAATCTGCTCTTCTCCCCCGCGGGCCCGCGTCAGATGGCCTTGTGACCTTCCACATGACCGACTGCTGCCTCAGCCGAGCAGATGGCTTCGCCCTGCTCTCCCAAGTCAGGATCGCCTTCCTCTCCTGCCTCCCTCCTGCGCCTTTGCTCCCCCCACACCCCCACCTCCCCCAGGGCTATGGCCGCACCAATCTGCTCTTCTCCCCCGCCTCAGATGGCCTCGTCCCCTTCGCCATGACCGACTGCTCCCTGAGCCGAGCAGACGGCTTCGCCCTGCTCTCCCAAGTCAGGGTCGCCTTCCTCTCCTGCCTCCTGCCACAACCCTCTCTGGGGCTTCCTCTGCCCGCCGCCGATTGGTCGAGAAGCATAGATCAAGATCACGGCTCGGCCCAGGCCCAGGAGCACGTGCAAGCACAAGAGCAAGAGCAAGAACAAGCCCAAGAGCAGGAGCAAGAGCAAGGAGTAGGGTCAGGCGAGAATCAAAACGAGTCTCAAGACCAGGGTGTGGCCTGCAGTCTATCCAGCAGTTTGCCGTCCAGCTCCAGCTCAAGTGCGGCGGCCACTGGCTTGTCAGCCGGAGTGGCAGCTGTAGAGGCAGCCGAGGAAGAGAGAGCTGGCCGTGATGCAGAAAGGATAGGCAGTGACACAGAGAGGATGGGCCATGGAGGAGAGGAAGCAGGGAAGGTTGTTCTTGAGGCGCCTCAAAAAGAAAGAACTGGTCGTGGTGCAGAAAGGATAGACAGTGACACAGAGAGGATGGGCCATGGAGGAGAGGAAGCAGGGAAGGTCAATGAGGCGAGTCAAGAGGTGAGAAGAGAACAGGTAGGAGAGGAAACAGGGCTGGTGGTAGCAGTAGCAGAAGTTGAGGCAGCGGCAGAGCATTCGAGAGCGGATAGAGCTTTAGATGCTGCAGAGCAGCACAGTGGAGATGACTGTTATTTATCAGGGGAGCAACAGGAGAGCCAGCTAGGACCAGCCAATGGGCAGGCAGGACCTGGGGAAGTTTCTCAGGCAGATGGGCAGGCCATGGACCCCATCGTCCCATCTCAGCCGTTCCCTCGCCCCATCCAACGGTCGAGATCATCCTGCCACTCAACGGCCCTACTCCAAGAGCTACTTAGTCCCCACCTGGAGTTCCTAGTGTGGATGGTACGGGGCAAGCTCGTACCCAAACCACGTATGGATCTCTACCCAGACGCACCGCACGCGTACCTTATAACGAAGAAGCTTGTAAAGAATCCTGCTCTGGTGGGCACAGGAGCCGGCGAGGGAGTGGCGGAGGAAAGGTTTGGGGATGGGAATAAGGATGGATTGGGGTCCGTGACGAGTATGGGTGTGAGTATAAGTGCCGGTGGGAAGGCGCTAAGTGCGCGGGAGAGCCTCATGAGCGAGTTATCTGATGCTTTGAGGGACGTGGAAGATGGGGATTTGGGCGCGGCGCTGGTGGGAAGGCGGAGGGGTAAAGAGGCCCGGCGGCGGCGGTGCAAGTCGGTCGGGGAGGAGCTGCTGCTCGGGAGAGATGCGATCTCCAGGGGTGATGGCAAGAGTGATGGCCACGGGAGCGCCGGAGGTGATGGCAGTGGGAGCAATGGGGCAGGTGACGCTAGAAGCGCTGGGTGTTGGAGTGGGAGCAGTGGGGATTCGGTAGGAAGCGAGGATGATGGCGTGTGGTGCGACTTTCCGCCCTCCAGCTCTGGCCTCATGTATGGGCTGGGAAGCCCTGTGGTCTCTGCCAGGTCTAGGGCGTATTCCAGGCCAGTAGGAGACGGGTATTCGAAAAGTGGGGCAGTGGGTGGGATGGGGATGGGCATGGGCATGCATGCTGGGAGGCCGTCGGCCCAGCGGCTGCAGCTGCTGCAGCTGTCACCTCCGTCTCTTGCTGTGTGTGCCGCGGCGGGGGGAGCGGGAGCAGGGGGAGCAGGGGGAGCCGGAGGAGCAGGGGGAGCAGGGGGGGCAGGGGGAGCAGTAGGAGCAGGGGAGGCAGGGGGGACAGGGAGTGTGAGAGGGATCGGCGAACCAGCACAGGTGCAACAACTTCATCACCACCAGCAGCATCACCAGCAGCAGCAGCAGCAGCAGCACCAGCACCACCAGCACCAGCACCACCACCAGCAACAGCTGCAGCAAATCCCTGGGATGCCACAATTTTTTGGTTTGTCCCAGTCAATCGCTGCTCTTTCGTCCTTCTCAACCCCTCCTCCCACCACCTCTGGCGCACATGCTGCTGGGCTGCCAGGGCTCGCCCCAACCAGTGCAGCAGCAGCAGGAGGCGGAGAGGCAGCAGGAACAGCAGGAGCGGCAGTTTCTGCTGGGAACCCAACACTTGCCTCCAACTCATCAGGACCGACGACCGCCTGCTCAGTAGCAGCAGCGGAGGCTACAGCAGGGGCTTCAGCACCAGCTGTCTCGGCACAAGTTTCACAGTCAGCACTGTCAGCTATCGGCTCTTTCACAGGCAGCAGCAGCCCTAGCCCGTACCAGCATGGCACGCGGCCAGGCAGGGCCAGCTGGGGCGGCCAATCGTGCAGCGTCCCACCCACTGAGGCTGCTGCCGCTGCCGCTGGTGGTGGTGCTGCTGGTGCTGGTTCTGCTGCTGTGGCTGGTGTTGGTGCTGGTGTTGGTGATGGTGCCAGAGGTGGTACTGCCGCTGCTGCTACTGCTGCTGCTGCTGCTGCTGTGGCTGCTGCTGCTGGTGTTGGTGACTATGGGTGTGGTGGTGGGGGAGGTGCAGGAGGGAGTGGGTTTGGAAAGGACGCTTCCAAGCTTCGCCGAGTCTTCTCCAAGCCACTGTCTCCGATGCTGCGCGGTGCGTGGAACATCTTCCAAGGCACCTCCTCGAGAGAGGCAGACACGGCTCGGGGGGTGGCCGGTGTGGACGTTGACGGAGAGATTGGTGCAGCTGCAGCTCCTACCGCTGCTGCTGCTGCTCCTGCCGCCGCTAATGCTGCTCCTGCCACTGCAAATGCTGCTGCTGCTGGGGCTGCTGCTGCTGCTGATGCTGCTGCGGCTACGGCTGGTGCCAGTGCGAGGAGCACACCTCAGGCAGTCTTCGAGCAGAGGCTCTCTCTGGCAGCCATCGGAAGGCGGAGGTCATTTGCAGCCCGAGACAGTAGGAATGGCAATGGCTCTCGCACCAGGAGGCGCTCATATGCTGGTACTGGTGGTTCTGGCGCTGGTGCTGCTGGTGTTGATGGTGACGGTGGGGGTGGGAGTGTTGGTGGGAGTGTTGGTGGGAGTGGAAGTGTGGATTCAGGGAATGGGGGCAAGAGGTGGGGTGGTCTAGCCATGAAGCCTCTTTGGTCAAGTTTCCGACAAAAGAAAGATGCTCAGGGCTATGCTCTGTAGTGCCAGCAACCTGTTACGCTTCGTAGTGCTAGTAACATTCCTCCTTGACACTATTCTTCGGGGGTTGTAGCAGTCCTACATGTACCCTTCAATCATCCCAAGCTCCTTCCATTTGGCAACTTCCATAATTCCATATGGAAACTTCCAGTTGTACCTGCACTTAAAGTGTTCTTGTGGAAGTGTTAGGTAACAAACAGTGAAATTGATGATCATAGAGAGAGAGAGTACACAAACATATACCTAACTGTTGTACTCTCTAGAAGATGACCCTATACAGTCTATACAAGCATGATAACTAAACATGTTTGACACACCCCCTGGACTGCATAGGGGAATGTTCTAGACAAGCAGCTCAGGGTGGCACTACTAGTCCAGCCTCTGAGACAAGGGTCTAAAAGACCAGTCAGAAGGAGTACAGGCAAGGCAAGAACTAGTACAGGGCGGCACTACTAGTCCAACCACTGTAAGAGGACACAAGTCCAGTCTGAGTGTACACACAGATATATAGGACAGTACAAAGTCAAGGCCCGAGTAAGTGAGAGACTACAGGAACCAGACCAAGCTGTACACAGTGCCGCTGATGATCTTTAGGCGCAAGCGCCTTCGTAAAGATATCAGCTGTGTTGGCACCGGAGGCTAAGTGTACTACGCGAGCCTGGCGACGCTGCTGTAGCTCACGCAGGAGGAAGTACCGCAGCTGGATGTGCTTCGCTCTGCCCTCGAGTCGAGGCTCCTGACACAGGAGGATCATGGCCCTGTTGTCAGCGTACAGGACCGGGGCAGAGCTAGGCCGCTCACCTAAGTCAGTGAGCAAGAAGGTCAGCCAGCGGAGCTCCTGTGCCGCCATGGCACCGGCGTAGATCTCGGCCTCACAGCTGGACTGGGCAACAGACGAAGAGCGGGTAGCTCTCCACGAGACAGCACCTGAACCAAGGCTAAAGCAGTAGCCCTGGGAAGACCTGAGCGTCTCGGCGTCGTCTGCCCAAGAAGCGTCTGTGTGTCCAGTAAGGACCACTGGCCTGCGTCCGCCTAGCACTAACCCCATGCCCGATGTACTTGCAAGATAACGCAAAACCCTCTTAGCGGCAGACCAGTGCTGAGGTCGGTGCCTGCCTGTGGCCACGAAACGAGCCAGGATGCTGAGAGGGTATGCGAGATCTGGGCGAGTGCAAGTCATCAGGTACATGAGGCAACCCACTAGCTCAGCGTAAGGACCACTGGGATCTACCGACTCCTCAGGAACTGGAGCGGAGAGTCTGTGGTCCAGAGGAAGAGGGGTGGGCTGTGCGGAGGAGAACTGAAGGCCGAACCTCTGAAGGACCTGGCGCACCAAGTGTGACTGAGTCAGGGTGATGGTGCGCGCGGCTCTGTCCCTGGAGATCTGCAAGCCAAGGTAACGGCGCAGCTCTCCAAGGTCAGTGCAGGTGTGTCTCTTCAGCAGCTCTGCCTTCACGGAGGCCAGTGCGTCCCTGTCAGCAGTGGCAAAGACCAGGTCGTCTACGTAGACGAGGATGTAGAACGGAGTCGAGCCAGCACGAACGAAGAGCGAGGGGTCTGCAGAGGACGGAAAGAACTGCAGGTCAGCAAGGGTAGCACGCAAAGTGTCGTGCCACTCACGAGGCGCCTGGCGCAGGCCGTAGACTGGCCGCCGCAGAAGCCACTGGGTCCCAGGGGGGAAGGTGCCAGTAAAGCCCTGAGGGCGACGCAGGTAGACCTGCTCGTGAAGGCTGCCCTGAAGAAAGGCAGTGGAGAAGTCGAGGGAGTGAAGCTCGTAGTCACGCTGAGCCGCTACGTGTAGCAGAACCCGAAGAGTAGTCATCTTCGGGGTAGGAGCGAAAGTCTGAAAGAAGTCCACCCCCTCGCGCTGACTGAAGCCTCTAGCCACGTAGCGCGCCTTGAACACAGGCGGCTCTCCAGGAGGGCGCTTCACCTTGAAGAGCCAACGGCCATCGACCACGTTCACCCCAGGTGGGGGAACTGCGTCGACGAAGGTGCCGGTGGATCTCCAAGATGCCATCTCCTGCTCCATGGCAGCTATCCACTGAGAGGCCCAGGGTCCCGAAACCGCCTCAGCGTAAGTACGAGGGGTCGGGATGTCGAAAGCGTCAGGGTCACCCTCAGGGACTAGCAGCATGGAACAGAGATGGGGAGCAGCCTCGGACAGGAAAGCAAGCTCAAACTGGCGGTCCTCCAGGACGTCACTGCCGAGGGAAGGAGCACCCCCGACAGACGGAGGACAGGCAGGGTGAGAGACCAGAGCGGTGGCGTAGTCAAGGCGGCGGGTAGAGGCGAAGTCAGCGACCGCAGCGACGAGGGCGTCAAGACTCGACACTGGAACAGACGGGTCGGTAACGAGAGAGGCAAGGACCCGAGGAACAAGAGGACGAGCGGCACGAAAGGAGTCGGACAGAGGAGGAGACGCAACGACAAGAGAAGACGGAGGAGGAGACGGGAGGAGGGGAGGACGAGACGCGTGGGAACGGAGCAACATAGGGTGAGAGCGCGGGACAGGGGAGACAGGACGAGCACGAGAGGGGCGGCGAGACCAGACGTGTGAGGGCGGCGTCGGGTCAGGAGACAGAGGAGGGGACACAGGAGGGGAACGAGGGGGAAGACGAGCCGGGGACGAGTCTGGCAGAGGGAACACGGGGCCGTAGACAGGAAGAGGGGGGGACGGCAGGAGAGGAACAGGCGCAGGGTCAGGAGACGGAAGGCCGAGCAGACGGAGGGCGGACACAGGCGGGGACTGCGGCTGCGGCGACACAACACCAACACCAGGGCCGCAAGCTGCGCGACGGCTACCTCCCGAACCCTCCACACCTGCACCCCCAGAAGGGACACCCCCAGAGCCCGAAACCCCACCAGCACCGGTACCACCCCCAGGTCCGCCGGGACAAGCCACGACAGGAGCCCCGGGACTAGTACCCACCTCAACGCCAGCACCCCCAGAGTCCACAAACGGCGGCAGCGACGACAGCGGCGGCGGCGGCTGCAGCGACGGCTGTGACGGCGGCGGCGGCGGAGACGACGGCTGCAACGGCGGCGGCGGTGGAGACGACGGCTGCAGCAGCTGCGGCAACGGCGGCTGCGGAGGCGGTGGAGGAGGAGACACCGGGGGAGGGACAGACGGCGAGGACTGCGCCGGAGGACTACCAGAGTCAGAAGACTCGTCGACCGGGACGACCGACGGGAGGGGGGTGACGTGAGACACACCAGAGGGGGCCGGACGGGGGGGCGGGGGGGGGGGAGGGGCAGGCACCACCAGGGAGGGAGGAACCAGGAACAGGGGGGGAGTAACCGGGGGACCACGGTGGGGAAAGCGGCGGTAGAAAGAGACGGACTCGTCAAAGGTGACGTCGCGAGAGTGAAAGAAGCGGTGAGACGGCGGGTGGTAGAAGTGCCAGTCGGACGCGTCAAGGGGGAAACCGAGGAAGACGCAGGGGAGGGTGCGGGCAGTGAGCTTGTCCGTGCCAGAGGCACGAACGTGAGCAAGGCAGCCCCAGACGCGGAACGCAGACGCGTCACCAGGGGACCCGGTCCACAGAAGGGTCGGCGAAACCTGCGGCCGCTGGGGGTGAGGCCACAGGTTAAGCTGGTGAGCGGCGTAGCGCACGGCGAACGGCCACAGAAAATGGGGTGCACCGGCGTGGATCATGGAGGTGCGAGCCACCTCCATGACCAAACCGATGCGTCGCTCAGCGACCCCATTCTGCTGCGGGGAGTCCGGCAGGGTAAACGTCTGGGTGATGCCCTCCGCACGACAGAAGCGACCAAGGACACCTGAGGCAAACTCGCCACCCCGGTCGGAGTGAAGGCGCAAGGCAGGGAGACCGCGGTGGACACGAGCAGAGACAAGCCAGGGGATGAGAACGTCAGGCACGTCGGCCTTCCGCTCCAGGGGGAAGACGGTGGTGTAGCGCGTGAAGTCGTCGACAAGCACTAGGAAGAAGCGCTCGCGACGCAGCCCATGGACCGGGGCTGGGCCCCAGACGTCCATGTGCAGAGTCTGCAGAGGTGCGGTGGTAGGGGGAAAAGAGGAGGAGTGAGGGGCACGGCGGAGCCGGCCCTCGACACAAGGCGTGCACGGTGGGGCGGGGGAGGAGGGAAACTCGGGGAACGAACCGGGGAGACCAAGGACGAGACCGTGCTGGGACATGTGACGCAGACGTGGGAGTGCAGGGTGACCAAGGCGGTGGTGCCAAAGGAGAGTCGGGTGAGTGAGGGACCGACAGGAGCACGCGGCAGCAACCTGGGTGGACGCAGCTACCGGGGGGGAAGACCCAGCCGGGGACGTCGCGGTGTCAAGTGTGAACAGGCCGGACACCGGGTCCCGGGGGAAAGTGGTAAGGGGGGCACCAGTGGCGGCCTCGGTACAGACAGCATACCGCTCGTGACCAGGGAACGTAGTGGTGACGCCAAGGTCCTGGAGGCAGCCGACACCAACTAGGTTCCTGGAGAACGAGGGGATATGCAGACCTGTGAGAGTGCCCGAAGGAACCGCCGGACAGGGAAGGGAGGTGGAACTGCGGGCAACGACGGGACCACCGGAGGGGTCAGCAAGAGTAACTGCAGCGGGAACAGGCAGCGGCGTCAGCGTCGTGGAGTCGCGGAAGAAACACCGGGAGGCGCCAGAGTCCAAGGTGAAGGAAAGCGCAGCAGTCGCTCGAGGCGGCAGTGAAGCGGTGGAAGCACCAAGGCTAAGCAAAGCAGGAGATCCTACGCCTGACGCAGCAGGGGAGTCGACGCTAGGCACCGCTACACTAGGCAACACGGGGTAATAAGAGGGAAGCACACTAGAGTCATCAGCATACATCACATGCAAGGCCGCTACAATGGCATCCATGTCCAAGTCAAAAATCCTAATGCTACGCCTAAGCAAGCTGTGCCAGTCCGGGAGGTCGGGCGCCGGGCCAAAGCGCTGGCGGAACAGGTCGTCCAGACGACGAAAACAGCGAGGAGTAGAATGACCGATCTTACCGCAAACGAAGCCGCGGCGAGGACCGGTCTGGATCTGGTACTGACAGGGCCCGCCTCCAGAACCACCACCCGGTGCACCACCACGCGCACGACCACCACCAGCTCCAGGCCACCCAGGTGGGAGAGTACTCGCCTGCCGCGTCTGCGGCGGCTGCTGCGACTGCTGCGAAGGCTGCGGCTGCGGCGACTGCTGCTGCTGCTGCTGCTGCAACTGTGGAGGCAGCGGGGCAGCTGGACCGGGCAGGGTCCCCACGTCCGCACCGGCACCGGACGACCCGCCTTCACCACTACCCCCACCCGCACCCCCGCCGCCTCCGCCGCTCCCAACCTTGGGGCGGCGGCCCTTCGCCGAGCGGGACTGCACTGCAGCAGCAGTCTCAGCCACAGCGACAGAGCCGTCGGAGAAGGTACACTGAGCGGGGGCACAACCCTGAAAGATAGGGACCGGTACTGTACCGCTCGCCAGGGCTATGGAGCGGTGACGAGTCTCTATGGCAGTCAGGGTGTCAACAAAGTCGGTGAGGGTGAGAGCAGCATGGTGGATGCTAAGGAACTGGTCGCGGGCGGCGGCAAGGCGATCAGGTAGGCGGGTGGCAAGGAGGTAGAGGGTAGAGGTCATGGGAGGCTGGTGGACTCTAAGCTGTGCATCAGTGCAGGCAGCGCGCCAGGCCTCATCTATCGAGCGCAGGTGGGCAGCGAGGTCAGAGACAGTGGGGAAAGACGCCAGGTCAGGAAAGAGCAGGGGAAGGATCAGGCGACCCACGGAGGCAGCAGGAGGGGTAGAATAGCGCTTGATGACAGCATCGAGGTAGGCCTGGGCGGTAGGAATGGTTCTAAAGCGAGGGCGCTCAGTGGGGGGGAGGGCATTGCTAATGGCGAGCTGAGCAAGGGCATCGCGGGAAAGCCAGACAGAGCGGGCAAGGGCAGCAGCGGCAGTGGACTCGCGCTCAGCGGGCGTGGGATCAGCAGGCAGCACAGCAGGGGGGTCAGGGCAGGGGAGCATACCGTCTAGGTGTGCAGAAAGCGGGTGGCCGTCCTGCCGCTGGCCAGTGAGGTGGCGGCGAAGGTCAGCCAACCACGCCTCGAACTCCAGAGGCTGACCCTCAGCATCAAAACGAAGCTCAGCAGCCATGAGGGGCAGTGGAGGACAGTGCAGTGCGGTGCAGTGCGATGCAGTGCGGTGCAGTGCGGTCCAGTGCGGTGCAGTGCGATGCAGTGCGGTGCAGTGCGGTCCAGTGCGGTGCAGTGCGGTCAGTGCGGTCCAGTGAGGTGCAATGCGATGCAAGGCGGGGCAGGAAAGTGCAGGAGGGTGCAAAGTGGTGCGGGGAACGGGGGACAGTACCAGGAAGTATGGAGGGCCGGGGCAGGCGCGTCGGGGCCGGGCAGGCACGACAAGGCCGGGCGGCGGCGACGGGGCCGGGCGGCTGCGACGGGGCCGGGCGGCGGCGACGGGGCCGGGCGGCAGCGACAAGGCCGGGCGGCTGCGACGTGGCCGGGCGGCTGCGACGGGGCCAGGCGGCTGCGACGGGGCCGGGCGGCAGGGACGAGGCCGGGCCGGACACAGCAGGGCCGGGCAGGGGCGACGGGGCCAGGCGGCTGCGACGGGGCCAGGCGGCAGCGACAAGGCCGGGCGGCAGGGACGGGGCCCGGGCAGGACACAGCAGGGCCGGGCGGGCGAGCAGGGGCCGGGCAGGTGCGACAGGGGCCGGGCAGCCGCGACAGGGGCCGGGCGGGCGCCACGTGGCCGAGAGGCCGCGACGGGGCCGAGCAGGGGCGACGGGGCCGAGCAGGGGCGACGGGGCCGAGCAGGGGCGACGGGGCCGAGCAGGGGCGACGGGGATGGGGAGGGGCGCGACGGGGCCTGGAGGGGCGCTACCAAGCCCAGGTAGGGGCGCGACGGGGCCTGGGGGGAGCGCAATGGGGCCCAGGAGGGGCGCTACGGGGCCTGGGAGGAGCGCGACTGGGCTAGGGAGGGGCGCGACGGGCCCTGGGAGGAGCGCAATGGGGCCCAGGAGGGGCGCTACGGGGCCTGGGAGGAGCGCGACGGGGCCCTGGAGGGGCGCTACCAGGCCCTGGAAGGGGCGCGACGGGGCCTGGAGGGGCGCTACGAAGCCCTGAAAGGGGCGCGACGGGGCCTGGGAGGAGCGCAATGAGGCCCAGGAGGGGCGCTACGAGGCCTGGGAGGAGCGCGACGGGGCCCTGGAGGGGCGCTACGGGGCCCAGAAAGAGGCGCGACGGGGCCCAGGAAGGGGCGCGACGGGGCTAGGGAGGGTCGCGACGGGGCTAGGGAGGGTCGCGACGGGGCTAGGAGCACGACGGGGCCCAGCTAGGGGGCGAGCGGAAGCGTGAGGGGGGGGGGGGGGGGGGGGGGATCCTACCTACGCGTGATACCATAACAAACAGTGAAATTGATGATCATAGAGAGAGAGAGTACACAAACATATACCTAACTGTTGTACTCTCTAGAAGATGACCCTATACAGTCTATACAAGCATGATAACTAAACATGTTTGACATTAGGATGTAGCGCTTCTTGCTGCAATGTGAAATACTCGGGTTGCTCTTGTATTGACTGGTTTACCTACCTCACACTGAAGCTCCTACATTTCCTCACGTTCAGTGCTGTTCTTGGTGGCTCATGCACCGCATAGGGATATGCAAGTGATAGTCGCACATTGGATTGGACCGGTCAAACTAAATTCCCTTATCATTCAATATGACTGGTCCTGTTTGCATGCAATACAAATGGCAATCCAGTGGATGACATGAAAGGTGAAACCATAGCTAAGGGTCACCTCTCAGCAGCCTGGATAGCAGTCTACAGACACGCGCGAGGTAAATCAATGCAAATGGCACGGTTCACTGAAGGATAAAAACGACTCTGAAATCGGTCTTCAGATGACAATATGTCAAAACCAGCAGAGAACCAGGACACTATCATAAACCACTAGCGCCATCAGAGACCACTAAGACGCCATCCGTTTCATCCGTGAGAGCCACTGGCTTGCCCTCTATTCTAACGTGGATCCACAATCGCTTGACGCGACTTGAAAATTAAAAACCCCAGCTAAAATTCCCCTACATGCGAGTGCACGTGTAAATAATGACCACCAGAGACCTTCTAATCATCTAAAGCTCTAATCTCCAATTCCTTAGGAGGCATGAAATCCGCCGCCGAAATATGCGGTTCCCGGCGATGCGATATCTTCTTCGGCTCCTCACCTGGACCATGGATCCAAAACTCAAATTCCTCCGGAGCCGTCCCTGGAAACACGGCAAAGATCTCCGTCCGCACCGCCGACAGCGACCATTCTTTATCGATAACCACCGTCCCCAGCACGCCGCCGTTGCACTGTATCTCGATGTCGATCATATTCGTTAGGTCCGCCTCCATCGTGCTTTATCCGGAGGCAGCAGCACATTCAGAATTGGAGGAGGGGGGAAACCTTTCCGCTGGCAGCAACAACCGCTTCTACCACGCAACCATCGAGCCGTTCAGTCGACTCCAATGCCGGATTAAGAAGACGCCGAAAATGCAGGATCTACCGTAACAAAGCAGCTCAGATGACACAGCCCTGACCGCAAAGTAAGGCTGTGCTAGGACGAGCCGCAATACGGTTCCAGAATATCCAAACCCTAGAGGGTAATGGCTACCACCAGAGCATTAGTTCTGGAGAGTCAAAATTGGTGTAGGGGAATCAGAGGGTGGATGGGGGAGATCTTGTTGGGCGGCTCTGTCTGTGGTTCTGTGGGTGAGGGTGGTGTGCGGTATTGATTTGAAAGAAGCACAAGTTTTAACGCATTAAACCGTACTGGAATCAACCGAAAACTATAGCAACCATCTCTCAAGTGAACCGGAAGTTCGAAGTGGAGCTTCTTGATCCAAAATGAATCAAGCCCTAGGGGGGTCTGGGGGTCCCGCCTAATGGAAAGGGGTTGACAAGGGGGTGGGGGGGGGAAGATTTAGGCACTGCAGGGGACAATAGAAGGTATGTGCAAGTAACGATGCTCGCTTCCAATAAAGGAGAAAGGAAATTCGCTAATTGTGGTAACTCGTGACACCACCGTAACGCACGACAAAAACTTGATTTGGGCATTCCCTCCTTCAACCAATCAGAGGGTGTACAAGAAGCGTGTCAGCCGAAACGCAACACCTGCAAGCTGGCGAGTACAGAACGTGCCACTTCGACCCTCTGATACAAACAACGCGGACGGATAAGAACTCCAGTCTGGGGTGCTACTAGTATACCCCAAGTTGAACGCCCCCGTATTAAAGAATGCGCTACAACATTTGGGACTGATGACAACATACCTATACAAAAACTCTCTAATTCCAGGAGGACTAAAGAAATCATACCAGCCGTGCCATTCATACGTGCTGCTAGCTTCTGAACGGTGGTACGTACCATTTACCACACTAGGCTGGCACGTCTGTGTCCACACATTTGGAAGTATCAGATATTGTGATATGATTCATACTTAGCATTTCTGTAAGTCGATTATCGATAGATAGTATCGAATCCTACTGTAGAAGAGAAGTCCGTAGGATGACGTCAGCAAATAGCGCTCGTCATGAGGATAGTCGTTTCAGTCATGCGAACAGTCGTGTCTCTTCAGTGCCATTTAGGACGCATAGCGCGATAGTGTCGAACAGGTACATTAGCGAACATGTACTTCTGTTAGGTATTGTTGGGCTGAAAAAATAGCCCTTAGGATCTTTCCAGAGACTAAGTCCCACTTGTACAAGATGCTTGAGTAGTGCAGCGGAAGTGTTGAGTACTTGAACCCTTGCACTAGTATGTGAGAGCAAGTGATTGACTAAAAGAAACAAGCATACAACAATATATAGGAAATAGGAAATAGAGCAGTTGTAGAATACAGTTGAAGAAACAGTTATCGAGTCGCACAGCGACTCGATCAATGGTTCGGGTACCACCCTTGCAGTCGTAACGGTCGGTCGCAACCTCCGGTTGCGATCCTTCGAGTCCCTTCGTCCTTTCGTGTTCTTTCGTCCAACCTCCTCGTGTAACCTCCGTTGACTCGCGTACTCGATACGACATTTCTTCGAGTGTAGTGTTACACTTAAAAAACGCTAAGTCTTCGAGGTATTTCCAACACTCCCTTTCGTTTCTGGAGTGCTGACGTGTCCGGATTCGGTGACGTTTATCTGCCCGGTCAGCAGCATGCAGTTATCGAACTTTGCCTTCGTCAGTTTCTTCGTCAGGTAATCTGCAGCCATTTCTGTCGCGGGGCAGTAACTGAGTTGAAGTCTCCCCTTCGCGATTTCATCCTTGACGAAGAAATACCGCAGGGCGATGTGTTTGGTTCGATTGGCGAACCCGTTTTTTTTTTCGCGATTTTGATCGCAGATTGGTTGTCGCACAATGACAAGAAGGCGGGCATGGTCATAATTTTCGCTTCCTCGAGCAGCTCCCGTAGGTAAAGTCCCTCTTTGGTCGCAGAGCAGAGAGCGATGTATTCCGCTTCAGCAGACGATAGCGCAATTAGTTCCTACTTGCTCGCTTGCCAGGAAATAGTGCCGATAGGTTCTAGTCGGTACACGTAGCCCGTTCTGGAGCGACGATTCTCCCTGTCTTCCGCGTGATCGGCGTCGACATAGCCGAGTAGCTGTACGGACGATGGTGTTACTTTGCTGTAGGTAACTCCGGTCGTCGCCGTAGAGACGAAGTAGAGCAGTGCTCGGTTTAGCTCCTCGAGATCCTCTTGCTCCGGCTGCTTTAGGTGTGTCGCTAGTTGGCTCGCGCTGTAGGACAGTTCGGTCGGCAGGTTACTGCTGCGAACAGTAAACAGCCGAGCTTCTGTTGATACTCCTGAATTTGCTTCGCGGGGAGCTTTGCGGAGTTTTCGCTGTTATTCCCGTAGTGATAGGGAGTGCCGACAGCGACTGGTGTTAGGCCGAATTTCTTCACGACAACGCCTGCGTATTTTCCGGCCTGTAGGTAGAACGCCGAGTCGTCTTCGACGATGTTTAGACCTAGGTACTGGCTCACGGTGTCTGACACCGTGAGTGTTAGGTCTCTCCTCAGCTCCCCTTCGAACCAGGTGGCGACGTCGGTAGTTGAGCCGACGTAGAGTAGGTCATCAACGTAGACGATGAGTAGGAAGAAGTCCCACCCCTTCTGTAGTCGGTACATGCCTTGTTCATGCGGCAGTTGGGAAAACCGATCCTGACGAGGCGGTCGTGAAGGTGCTGCTGCCAAAGCCGCGTGGCTTGTTTAATTCCGTAAAGGGATTTTGCCAGCTGACACACTTTTGTGGGATCGTCGATGAATCAGTGGGGTTGTTCGACGAAGATTTCGGCGTCCACAGGTGCGTACAGGAAGGCGTTGGCGACATCGATCTGGCGTAGTGGTAGTATTTTCGTGGCTGCGACGGCAAGCAGAATGCGCAGGGAGGTATGTCATGAGGCTGGGGCGAAAGTCTCCGTCTAGTCGGTTTCGTATCGCTGGTCGAAGCCTCGTGCGACCCAGCGAGCCTTGAAGCGGTCGATGGAGCCATCCGCATTAGTCTTTATGCGGTACACCCATTTCCCCGAGAGCACATTCTTCCCGTTGGTTTTTGTTGCACGTACCGGCTCCCACGTATTTCGGTCTTGCAGGGCCTTCAGTTCCTTTTCCATTTCTTCCTTCCATTTTGCCTTGTGTTCCCCCCCCAGAGCCTGCGACAGGGTTGTAGGCTCGCGCGGTGACGGCGGCGGCGGGCTCTGGACGGCGACCCAGAGTCCAAGTATCTGCAGCCCCGTGGGTGTGTGTCAAGGGGAATTGTCATTCGCGGGATAAGCTGCTTCGTCACCGTCTTCAGGATCAGGTAAGAAACTTGGTCCGATGCGTTCAGAGACATTTGTTGCTACCGGTTGAGGTGTAATGTAACCCTGGTCAGCGAAGTGGTAATAGGTGTCGATGTTGCTACTATCGAGAGGGTTGTTGTCGTCGAGTGGGATAGGCACGGAGCAGTAAGGGAGTGGTCCGGCAGTTTCCGGGGCTCTGGGTAAGTTTTCTTCTGCTGCATCAGCTTCGGCAGCACGATCGGCGAAGGACCGATGGCCCTCGAAGCCGTCGGTGGGGTCGTCTTTGTTGGCGATGTTGTCCAGGTAATGTTGCAGTGTCATTCGCTCGTAGAAGATGACATCACGTGAGGCCACGAAGGTTTTGTCCTGAATGTCGAGAAACTTCCAGGCTTGAAAATGTTTTGCGATGCCGAGGTGTAGTCCGTACCGTGCTCGTTGAGAGAATCGCCCTGCTCGGGCTGTGTGGGGTCTGTACTGTACCATGCAGCCGAAGACTCAAAGTAATTTTGTGCTGCCCTGTTTTCTTGTCCACAGCAGGTGCGGTGATGCGCTGTTGGGAAGTGATGACGAGGACAGCAAATTGTGCAGGTGGACTGCATGCGTCATCGCGTCAGGCCAAAGTGTGTTGGGAAGTCTCATCCCAAGGAGCAGCTTCCGCATCGTCGTCTACAAGGTTCGGTTCATCCTTTCTGCGACCCCCTGCTGCTGGTGAGCATAGGGCAGGGACACCAAGGGTCTGATGCCTCTTTCTGCCAAGTAGTTCTTGAATCGTTGTGACTGGTACTCAAGTGCTCCGTCTGACTGGAAGCTCTTGAGTTGCGAGTCCGATTCTCGTTCAGCGATGGGGAGCCACGTTGTCATAGGATCGAATGTGTCGAGGAAAGATTGCACTATCGATCAGTACAAGGCGCTTTTATACTTCCAGAGTACATCAGGTAACCAGGTTTATCTTATCCTAAGGAAATAGACCCTTCTAGAAGATAGAATCACCTTGCGTATAGCCACGCGAGGCTATTGGCTTTAAGGGATTACAGCAGGATTACGCTAGATATAGCGCTCAGTACATCCCAAGCCTGGTCGGTGATATAATTATAATAGCAGGATAAACCAAAGGTTAATGGAAAAGGGAGAATAGGAAACCAAATGAGATGAGATAAAAAGAGAAATGAAAATAGGAAGGAAGTAAGAAGAGGGACAAGTGGTGTAATGGGGTCGTACTCTCATACACGTCGTGAAGGCTTCGAACGCTTGATCTCGTGTCTTGAGGTTGTAGTGCCAGACGTATCGTGTTGCTGCGTCGATGAATGTGATGACATAGTTGTACTCTGCTTCACTGTCATCTCGAGGCATATTTAAAATGTCGCTGTAGACTTTTTCCATCGGTGCGTATGTAGGTGCGCTTGGATTGTGGTGCGACGGAAAAGGTTGGTGGGGAAGATCAGCTTCGGGACATGTGAAGCACCGTGTGCGGGTTCGTCGAAGCTCCAGGCCGCTCGTTGTGAGAAGATTGTCCTTTTCTAATACTCCGGCTTGGATGGTTTGTAGTACTGTGCTGTTTGCAGGATGTCCGACTCGTTGATGCTAGATGTCGTCGGGAGCGCGATGGCCGGGTGAGCACTGGTATATGTCGGTGTTGGAGAAGAACGCGACGACCGTGGCGGGACTGCGGCAGGCTGCTCGGGTGATGGGCATGAGTTGATCTGCTTCGGATGGCGGTCCTCGGATTGTTGGTGATGGCACACGGCTGGGTCCTGCTTCTCCTACTGCAGGTAATCCCGGATGAGGGACGCTTGTTGGTACTTGTCGGATGACTGCTAATGCTCGTGTTCTTTCTGCTGCAGGGATGGTGTTGGAGTACCAGAATCCGTCTGGAG